CGTGGAAGCAGCCCCAGCGTTCCTAGACGCATGAATGACTGAGGGGCGGGGCGTGCCTGGAACAGTGTCCTGCCAGTCACAAAAGCCCAGATCGCAGGTGACTGGGCTTCCAGGAGGTGCAGGCAGGAGGGAGGGCGCCAGGGCCTGGGGCTGCGGGGTTACCGTTCAGTGGGTCAGGGTTTGGCTTTCCAAGATGAGAAGAGTTACAGAGATGCGTGATAGCGGTGGTTGTGTGAGTGTAGGGATGTACGTTATGCCAGTGGCCTTGCACTTAACAATGGTCCATTTTGTTGCGCGTATTTTATAACAGAATATTAGAAAAATAAGTGGAAGTTTGAACTACTCAGAGAAGAAGAGCAACACTGACAAAAGTAACTGCGTCGGTGAGTGTACAAGCCAGCGTGCTGAGGTCGTGCTGTTTGCTAACTCGCCTTTCCCTCCCTGTGAGATTTAAGGATGAGCACTTACGTAACAGATCAAGCTAGGGGAGTCGCATGCGATGTATGAAGATGTGATTTGTGACCACAACATAAAGGGAGAGGGATGGGGCAGCCAGCATCATCTTTAAACACTATTGAAGCTAACTTTGTCTTAAACGACACTGTTGCAAATTTAAGATAATTATAGACTTAAAGAAACCATTAAGGAAAAATATATACAGAAGAGGAAATCAAACCAGTACATCAGGAAAAAAAAAATGAAACACCAAAAAAGGCAGTTGTGAGGGAATTGAGGGGGAAATTTATCTATAAGACACCTAGAAAACAAATAGCAAAATAGTGGTTTTTTCTTATCAATGATTACCTTAAAAAGTAAATAGATTGAGGGTCCAGTGATGTGGCACAGGTTAAACCACCACCTGTGACGCCAACATCCCAAAATAGCATTGGTTCAAGCCCTGGCTGCTCCACTTATGATCCAGTTCTCTGCTTATACGCCTAGGAAAGCAGCCGAATATGGTCCAAGTACTTGGACCCCTGTATCCACAAGGGAGACCCGGAAGAAGCTCCTGGCTTCATCTTGGCCCAGCCTCTGCCATTGCAGCCATTCAAGGAGTGAACCAGTAGATGGAAGATTCCCTTTCCCTCTCTCTCCGTTTTTCACATAAGTAGAATAAATACTTTTTTAAAAAAAAATAAGATCAATAGGGACCAGCACTGTGGCATAGCAGGTAAAGCTGTCACCCTTATGGTGCCAGTTCAAGTCCTCAAGGCAGCCCCCATTCTGATCCAGGTTCCTGTTAATGGCCTGAGAAAAGCAGCAGAAGATGGCCCAAGTACTTGTGCCTCTGCCACCTAGGAGACCTGGAAGGAGCTCTGGCTACAGCCTGGCTCAGTCCCTGCCATTGTGGCCATCTAGGGAGTGAACCAGTGAGTGGAAGTGCGCTTCTCCCCCTCCCCTCCCCCCACTGCTGTGTAACTCTGACTTTCAAATAAATAAATAAATGTTTTTTTTAAGGGAAGTAGATTGGACCTCTAGTCAAAAGACAAATTGGCAAAATTGATTTACAAAAAAATTTTTTTAAAAAACCAGCTTTATGTTGCCTGCAAGAAATCCATCTTGAATCCAAAGACACAAATGGGTTCAGGTCAGAAGGATTTCATGCAAATGGCATTCCATGCAAACAATATGCAAAGGAGAGCCAGGCTGTCTATACCAGCATCAGGCAAAGCAGACGTTGAGTCAGAAACTGTTCCAAGAGACAACAAAGGGCATCTATTTTAGTGAAAGTGTCAACCCCAGTGTCACCATCAGCACACAGATTTATCTTCCAGCCTCCCCCTGCCCACAAATCAGGGTCAAGTGCAGGCAGTCCCCACCCTGGCCCCGCCTCAGAGATGGAAATCAGGTCAGACTGAAAGACGGGGTCATGTCACCAAGGAGCCCTGGGTTCTTGTTCCTACCCTGGCCCTGCTGGCCTCGCATCCCTGGGCAAGGCCGTCTCCCGGAGACCTCACCCCCTTCCAGGCTTCCACCCTCCCTGACGCCCTCTCCCAGGCAGGCCAGAAGCCTGGCCCGTTCCCAGGCTCCCCCGCGACCCCTCGCAGGGTCTCTGGCGGTCTCCGCAGTGAAGCTCCTCCGGGGCAGGAACAGTCACTTTCTCTCTGCATGCTTCGTGCTCAGCCTGGCAGAGAAGGGGCCCAGGGCCCTTTGCTGGTGGGTGAGAATGTGGCTGGAGGACACACCTGCCATCCCCACTCCCAGGACTGTCAGCATGGTGGGTCTGCTCAGACCACCAAGGGGTCCCTAAGAAAGAGCCCATGTCCCGCACTTGCCACCCTGCACTGGCGTCTGACCCTTCTCCCCCAAGCCCTGTGCCCTACACAGCAGCCCCCACCTTCTCCTTTTTCCTGACAGCCGGCTCCCCTCCCTGTCAGGGCTGCCTATGCTGTCTGGACCTGCCCCAGGCTATATATTCCAATTAGCCTCCCTGAGCCTCAGTCCCTACCCCATAGCCCTGTGGGATAAAATGAGACCATGCGTAGACTGCCTAGCCAACAGGAGGACCACCATGGAGGCTGCAAATAATAAGATTCTTTCTCATAAGTGAAGAGATTTGTGCTCTTAGGCCATCTTTCTGAAGCTATCTGCTGTGTTCTGGCATTCTGTGGGGCTTAGAAGGGCTAGGAGGGTGGGTGGGTGGATGGGTGGATAGATGGAAGAATTGGTGGGTACATGGGTGGTTGGGTAGATTGGTAGATGGAAGGATGATGGATGGACAGATGGGTGGGTAGATGGATGAGTAGATGGATGGATGGGTGGTTGATGGGTAGAGGGATCAGTGGGTTCGTGGATGCATAACAGATGGATGGATGGATCGGTGGGTGCGAGGGTGGTTGGGTAAATGGGTAGGTGGATGAATGATGGATGGACAGATGGGTGGGTGGGTAGATGGGTAGCAGATGGCTGAATGGATAGACGGATGGGTAGATGGATGATTGATGGTGGATGGATGGATGGACAAAGGACAGAGGAATGAATCTTTGTCACTGATTTGTTCCACATCAGGACCTCTCCATATAGAGAAAGAGCCGTCTTAGTCTTCGAGCTCTCAAACTTTTTTTAATCACAACGAAAGTGAAAGATAGTTACGGGTGGGGGAATGTCACATACAGGAACACTGTTCTATCCCTTCATCACCAGTAGTCATGGCAGCTCACATCTATTGAGCCCCACATCAAGCAGAATCTGCATTTGCTATTTGATTCTCAGACGTTCCATGGGGCAGGCACCACTGCTAGCCCTTACTTACCAATAAGGCAAATGGGTGTAGCAGTTTGTTTACAGCCACAAAACTAGAAAGTGATGGAGCCGGGGTTCATAACCAGTCCATCAGACCAAAGGAGTGAGCGATCCAATTCAGTCATTCGGCTCCAAGCTCCATGTCTGAGGGGCAGGGCCTGCAGCTGAGTAGACAGCGGGGCGTGGATGAAGCCTGCCCATCGCTTCCAGAACTGACTGGGAGACCCCAGGGAGGGAGGGAAAGAGGCAGACCGTGTGTGACCTGGATGGTGTGAGCCAATCAGGGAAGGCTTCCTGAAAGAAGGGGTTGCACTGGGGCCTGGGTAGACGGGCGAGAAGGGGAGGCCAAGCCTTGCGTGGGGCAAGGGAGGAATGAGGGAGCGGGCAGAAGCACTGTCTCAAGCAGCAGCCCCGGGAGCAGTGGCTCATCTTCCTGTCACAGAGGAACTGAGCCTCGGGGGGCGGAGTCACATGCCCAGGGCCTCCCACTCATCAGTAGCAAGGCCCACATGGAGCCTGGATGCCTGGGCTCTGCCCTGCAGGACTGTAGAGCCAGTTGACACCCACCCCAGAGCTGCGACATTTCTGGGGATGAAAGTAACAGAAAGGTACTTTCTGTTGGAGGGCTGGGCAGAGCTGGGCGCACCTGCTAACACCTGCTAACACCTGCAAGATGGGGTGCGCCGGCTTTCACAGGAGGCAGGAGGGGCAGGGGCTAGGAGGCGGTCCAGTGAGCCAGAGACCCTCCTCACAATCCCGAGGGCCAGACCGGCCCCGGGCCCAGGCCCTCCCTCCTGGGGGCTGTCCTCACCCACACAGCAAACTCGGTGCTGGTGCCTTTCTTTGTAACATAGACCCCAGCCATCTGTAATGAGCCCTTGAACGGGTCCCACGCCAAGGGATTCTAGAAGGGGTCCCTCCAGTCCCCAGGACAAGAGATGGTCCTCATCTTGCCCAGGAGCCTGCCTGCCCCCCAACACAGCCCCCCCCCCACAGCATGCTGGCCCCAGGTGGCCCGGCGGCTGCAGGACAGGCTGCTACATTAGTTTCTGGTGGGCCTGGGGGCCGGGCTGCTCCTGACGGAGCCCTCACAGTGCCTGCCCCCGCCAGCTCCCGGGCCCCAGGCCAGGCCCACCTGGCTCAGTGCCCACATTCCGTGCTTGCACTCTGGGACCAGGAGCTCATTAGGATTCAGGCTGATCACGGGGAAGGCCTGAGGGGCAGAGGCTGCCTGCCGTAGCCCTGGGAGGAAGACTCAGCTGGCGCGGGGCCGGGGTGGGGGGGGGCCCTCTGCCGCTTCCCATAAACCCCTGGGGGTTGCACTCAGGCCACGGGGGCCCCCTCACCGTGCGCCCAGGTCCTCAGGGTAGGCTGGGCTCAGGTCTGCAGTAGCCCTGTCGCCTACTCTTTCCCCTTCCCCAGGGACTTCCCACGTTTGTGTCTTTGCCCCTGCTGTCCCACTGCCTCGGATGCCCAGATTCGGAGACGTGGGGAAAGCAGGCATTTCTGCCCAGCAGGGTGGGTTGGCTGGAGAAGGAAGCCGTGCAGACACACAGCAGGTGCGTCCAGCCCAGGCCTCGCAGCCGGCTTCCACGGACCAAGTAGGGGTTTTCCGAGAGAAAGGACTGGGGTGACGTTCACGGTCAAGTGGGCAGATGAGAAGATACGGCCCAGGGACCCGATGAGCCCCTCAGAGGCTGGCCCTGGCTCCGAGGGCGCAGATGGGGACGGTGGGGGTAGGAGCGGGCGGTACTCACCCGCTGAAGGATCACCATGGTCCTGCGTCAGATGCCCCTGCTGTCCGGCCGGCCAGGTGCAGTTCTGCGGGGAGAGACCATGTCAAGCCTGGGAGCAGTCAGCTGGCCCTCGCGGCCTTCTGGCTGGGGTCAGCTGGGCTCCTCCCCAAGCCCCAGCCCCTCCCCCCGGAGGGAACCCTCGCTGGCTCTTCTCCCTCTGGCCACAGCCCAGCCCGCGTGACCTGAGCCTCAGCCACCGTTGCCAGCTCTGCTGCTCAGGGCAGCTGAGCTCTTCTCTCAGCCACTGTCATTCAGAAATTCCCAAAGGGCTCCTAGAAAGTCTCAAGTCTAGCCTCACCCCAAGAGGCCCAGAGAGGGAGCAACACTTGCCCAGCGTCACACAGCACGGCAGGGCAAGTGCAGGCCTAGGGCTGGGCATCCGACCTCCTAGCTCAGAGCTGTCCAGGAGTGTGGGTGATGGCAGCCTGCTCATGGCACTCCTGGGCTGCAGCCCCTCTAGACCACCCACTTCCTGCATGATGGAGGGGCGACACCCCCAGCCTGGCTTTTCCAGCCCAGCAGGAGCGGACCCCTGCTGACGTGCCAGCCTGTTCTCTCCCTGTCCCCATCTTGCTCGGGCCATTCTCTGGTCTCACTACGCCAGCTCTTTACCTATGCTGACCCCCATCTGAAATTGTGCCTGGCTAACTCCAGCCATGAGCCGTGGCTCTGCTCAGACAGCATCTGGGCCTCTGCTTCCCTCTATTCTGACCTGACAACTACACTGACCACGTGTGTGCTGTTATCTGGGTCAAGGGTCAGTCCCTAGAGCCGGGGAGTTGATCCAGGGCAGGGCATGGCCACAGGGAAGGGGCTCACCTGTCTCCTTGTTTCCAGCCTTGCCTAGCCTGGGGCCAGGCCCAGACATGGCTCAGCAAGGCCTTGTGGGGCTGAGCATGGCTATTGAACACGCCCTGCCCCCGCCAAGCCCACGGGCCTGGCACCAGGCTCCTCGGGCCCCCAACCTGTCCCCAGGGTAAACATCAATGTTTCACAAGGGCCCATTCACAGGCACTGAGGCATTTGATCCTCTGCCTATGACACTGCCCGACACCCGAGCCCTGACCGTGGCCCTGCAGCCCTGGGACACAGCGGGCTCACGGCACCCCTGGGACCCGCACCGGCCTGGCTGCCTGGTGGGGAGGTGGACTCAACAAGGCCACCAGGCAGCTGCTTTGGGGCACTCTGGACGCTCAGCTGCTGGGCTGGCTTACTACACACCAGCATGAGCTACAAGAGCCGGGGACAGAACAGAGATCCACAAAGAATGTGGGACTTGGGGAGTGGAAGAGGGTAGTGAGGGCATAGGACCTGAGGGCCAACCGTCAGGAGAAACTCTGAGATACACATTTTACTCCTGAAAATAAAACTAGGCCATGTGCAAGTTCGTCGCTTTTCCAATTGGCAGCAGGGACTATAGACTCTCACTAGGTTATTAACCCCACGCCCGATTTTCCCTTGCCGCTACTTCAACAACCTGGAGTTGAGGCTCCATATGCCCATTTCACAGCTGGGAAATTTGAGGCACAGAAGAAAGAAGTAGCGGATCTAAGGAGAGAGACAGAGTCAGATAAAGTATAGAGGAAGCCAAGCAACAGGGAAAGAGGTGTCTCTGTCGCTGTCTCTCTCCCACCCCACACGACTGCCCCCCGGGCCCAGGACGCCCAGCCCCAGCCTCAGCTCAGAAACAGCTCCATGAACTCCATGCCGCGGGCTCTCCCCCTCTGCAGGGTACAGCTTCCGTCTTTCCAGGCTCAGGACAGTTTCGTTCAATGGCTGCCAGGGCTGAGCCCCGACAGGTGCCAGGAAGCCCAGGCCCAGCATCAAGCGGCTGTGGGGACAGCCATGCCATGGCTCCCCCCAGTGCAACGACCCTCTTCCACGCCCAGGACACCCAGCGGCCCATGCATACCTGGGACACGGCGACCCAGCAGTGGGGGCAGCTGTGCCTGCGCAGAGGGCTCAGGAAGCTGAGGTCACAGGTCTGTGTGTGCAGACCCGCTGCCCCCCGCCCTCGCCCCGAGTCGTGCTCCGCGGCTCACTCTGGGTGTCTCTCTGTGTCTTCTCCTGCCCAGGGCGGCTGTCCAGCCGACACTGTCACCCTCCCCTCCCTACTCCAGAGCCTTCTCCCAGGAGGCGGAGCCGCAGGGGGCCTCCAAGGTCTGGTGTGGTGACATCAGCATGGGGGGCGGGCTGTCAGGGCTGGGACTAATGTCCAGACACTGCCCCGGGCTCTGTGTGCTGCAGCAAGGGCTCTGGGTCTCTCTCTGGCTGCACTGTGGATCCGCGTCGGGGCAGAGGCCTGGGCCTCCTGCCCTGCCATCGGCAGTGCTGCTACCTGCTGCCTTGGTCCCCGGGCAGGGAAACTGAGCTTGATCCTGACTCGGTCACACGCTGGCTGTGGCCCCAGCCCCTGTGTGCCCCCATGGCTGTTGTCTCTTCCCTGGTGGTTGCTGCCGACTGGGAGAGGAGAAGCAGGGGGGTGCAGCAGCCGACATGCTGGCAGCTCCCCCGCCCCCACTGCATCAACTCAGCGTTGCCCTGCACAGCTTGTTCTGGGGGTTGGGGATGTGTATTGTTCTAGAATCAACAGGAAACTTCGCCAAACCGGCTGGCTAAGAGCAGTCCCATAGGTGACAGGCACACACACAGAGGGAAGTGAAATATACCATTCAAAGGACAGGAGCTAGACAAGAAACACCTGGCAAGGTGGGACAGCTTCCCCTGGCCCGGGCACTCCCTCCTTCCCACCCTTTGCCCTCAGCGGCACCTGACAGCTGTCCCCTTGGTGCACTCTCCAGGGGCAGTGCTAGCCCTGCAAGGGCAGTGGCACTTTGGGATTCCCCGGCTTGGGAACTGGGGTGTGTCTGCAGGAATCCCGCCCAGAAGACAGAGTGAGGGGCCAGGAATGTGGAGGAAGGGAGGGGGTGACCAAGGGGGAACCATGACCCAGCAGCGCCACCTGCTGGCTGCACAGGCTCCACCACCTACTGCTGGCGTGGCGCCGGGGAGGCAGCCTCTGGCGGGTTAGGGCTCCCACAGACAGAGACCCCGAATGCTGCAGCACACCTCAACCCCATGGCCCTGCTCCAGGAGTGGACATTCGCAGCGGTTACGATGCTGCAGCCCTTCCAGGAGCCCCTGCGTCGGAGTCCTGCCTCTGCTCTCCATTCTGGCTTCCTGTTAATGTGCATCTTGAGAAGTGGCTGATGATGGTTTGAGCACTTGGGTGCCTACCACCCACGTGGGAGACCCGGATGGAGTTCCCTGCTCCTGGCTTCAGTCTGGCCCAGCCTCAGCTGCTGCAGGCATTTGGGGCGGGAACCAGCAGAGGGGAGATCTTTCTCTGTGAAATAAATTTTTAATTTGAAGGGCAGGGGGGAGAGGGAGGTAGGGTAAGGAAAGAAGGAGCGAGGGGGAGAGAGAGAAAAGGGGAGAAGGGGGAAAGGGGAGAGGGAGTGGGGAAAGAGGGGAGAGAGAATCTTCCACCTGGTTCACTTGCCGAATGGCTGCAACAACCAGGGCGGGGCCAGGACAAAGGCAGGAGCCTGGAACTCCATCCACATCTCCCACATGATTGGTGGGGGTCCGAGCACTTGGGCCATCTTCTGCTACCTTCCCTGGGGCATTAACAAGGAACTGGATAGGAAGTGGAGCAGCCAAGACTTGAACCAGCACTCATATGGGATGCTAGCATCGCAAGAAATGGCTTAACCGGCTGTGGCACAATGCCAGCACCCCCAATGTTTTACAAATATATTTATTTATTTACTTGAAAGTTAGTGTTGCACAGAGAGAGAAGGAGAAACAGAAACAGAAAGAGAGAGAGAGACTTCCATCTGCTGGCTCACTCCCCAAATGGCCGCAACGGCCAGAGCTGCGCAGATCCAAAGCCAGGAGCCAGGAGCCAGGAGCTTCCTCCGGGTCCCCCACATGAGTACAGGGGTCCAAGGACTTGAGCCATCGTCTACTGCTATCCCAGGCCATAGCAGAGAGCAGGATCAGAAGTGGAGCAGCCAAGACTCAAACCGGCACTCACATGGGATGCTGGCACTGCAGGTGGCGGCTTCACCCGCTATACCACAGCGCTGGCCCCTCCCCCCATTTTTTTTTAAGGGCTTGCTCTGGAACACTGCACTCACACCTGCTGCCAGTACTCAGCACCTAACGCTCTTCCAACTCCCTCCTGGCCTCCCACGCTGGGCTGGACACGTGGGCGCAGCCCTGCACAGCTGGGGCGGATGAGGCCCAGGTGTGAGCACGAGGGCACCGAGGTCCCTCGCTGGCAGCTGGGGCAGAACGCAGGTGTGAGCTGCTAAGGAGTGGGGGTGATGTGGTCTCCCACGCCACGGTAACCGCGACATTCCCAACACCCACTGCGGACCAGGCGCTTTGCTAAGCAGGTGACATAACGGGCGTCTCGGTGTGTTTTCTCTCACTGTAACAAAACACCTAAGATGGGGTACTTTACAGGAAAAAGATCTATTTTGCTCATAGTTCTGGGGGCTGAAAAATCCAAGCTCAGGTAGCACATTGCACAAGGGCCTCGTGCTGCATTGTAGCGCAGTGGCAGGCGTCACAATGTGGCACGCGGTTGGTCGCATGGCTGGCAGGAGCAGACGTCTGTGTGCTGGAAGCCCAAGAGCCTGCTCTCTGGGCTTTTATCCCATGACTGCCTGGCTCCCACCAGAGCCCACCTCTTAAAGGGCCACCACCTCTAGCCCTGCCTGCTGGGAGAACTTCTAGCACATGAAACTTTAGGGGACAAACACCCAAACCATAGCAGAGTTGGTCTTGGTTAGCTTTGATCTCACACTGCACTTACCCACGCCCCTCCATAAGGACCTTTCAAATGCAACCCCCCCCCCTCTTCCTCACTGGGGCTGCCAGCACCTTCCACTTAACGGCCCCTGCTCTGGTCGCCCCGCACCCTCCTGTGCCCCCCTCCCAAGCTCATCTTTCTCAGGTCCTTCAAGGTGTAAGCCTTCTAGAATCTGCCAGGTTAACGAGCCCTGCAGGGGCCCCACATTTGTCCTGACCAGCATCTGTAACTGGCCATCCCCACCAGCTGGGAGGCTGCTCGGCGTGGGGGGGGGGCAGCCTGCCCATTGGGCAGGGCTCGGCACAGGGCCCACCCGGTGCAGATGTGATGGTCAGCGGCAGGTCCGACAGAGCGACCCCGGGGATCTCAGTTCAGACTCATGGCACGGCAGCCGGGGCCAGCCTTGGTTGCGACTGCCAAGTCCTTCTGACCAGAAGCCAGATCCTGGGCCGGGGAGATGGTCTTCCACTGCCCCTCCCCCCAGAGAGGCAGGCGGACACGAGAAGGCCTTTCTGAAACTGTGGTAACATTTATTGTGAGATTAGATGAGGCTCCCTCTCCCCCATCCCGTGTGGGCCTTCAGGGGTGAAGCCTGGGCCTGCACGGCGCAGGCTGCAGGCGACACCCATTTGCACGTGGGGACCCCGAGTGCATGAAGCAATGCTCTCCCCATCCACTCTCGACCCTCACCTTCCGGGTCCCCAGATCCCTGCACAGCCAGGAGCCAGCCTGGCCCAGCTCGAGGGGCCGGAAGTGAGAGCAGGGCTGTGGTACCAGTTCCGTTCCGCTGGGGTGGGAGGCAGCGGCCAGCCCCCGGTTGAAGCCCATCTGCTGCTACTTGGTCCTGGCATCCCCCACTGCCTCCACGTACCAGGGGGCGTGGCTGAGCAAGGCAGCACGTGTTGGCTGCTCAGGCCCAGGCTGGCCGAGCAGCGTCTACCAGCCCCGCCTAATTTCAGACATTGGGTGTGCAGGGAGCATGGAGGGCGCCACACTGCCCTTGTCCGGCACTCGGTGACAGCAGGGCTGACAGCGCAGGCGTCGGGGCGCAGGCACAGGAGCTTTCAGTGATTCGCTCCTGGTCACGCGCACAGTCCTGGCCCCAGGCCCAGGTCCTCGGGGCGGGGGGTGGGGGTCGCGGCTCTGGGACGGGATCCTCTCGTCCTCCTCCTGTTTCTGTCCCTGGCCTCTGCTGTGGCCGAGGGAGCCAGGGTCCAGGCGGCTGTGGGTGAGGAGGCAGAGCGAACACGCCGTGGAATCTGGAGCCGGAGACTCAGGTGCCCCAGAGGAATTCCTGTTCTTGAAGCCGCCACACTCGTTCTGTGGCTACACCTGGCCTGGAGGCCCAAGCAGGGCCCCACAGAGGCAGTGAGGGCGTCCCGGCACCAAAGCTCAGCCAGAGGCTTCTAGAACACGGTGGGTGCCGGCTACCAGAGTGCCTGCTACAAACCTCGCCCCCTCGCCAGGGCCACGGCCCCTCTGGAAATGGCCCACTTCTCCAGGCCTCCCCACGTGCAGCCAAAATTGCGCCAGGAGAAGAGCAGAGGGCTGCTGGCTCGCAGCTTGCTCTGAGAAGCCCTGGGCGAAAGGGAGACTTCCTCCCCCAGGGAACAACAGGAAGCTTGAGGACTGAAACGCTTTGGCCCGGGCAGCAGGAAGGGCACCATGCCCTTCTCGGCTGTGTTCTGGGGGAATGTTGGCGGAGGGCTCCCTGGCCAGGTGACAGCTACCCACCCCAGGCTGCCTTCATTTGGCAAATCTCTGTTTGAGTGAACAAGTGGATGATGGCCAAGGGGCCAAGGTCAGAGAATCAGCCAAGGCCACCTGCACATCTCCCAGAGTCCAGCCTGAGCAGGAGCCCGGCAGGAGCTGAGAGAGAAGGGGGTGAGGGAGACAGGGTAGGCCCAGGCCCAGCGAGGCAAGGACGGGCTTGGGAATGTGGCAGTCTGTGTGTAAACAAGTGACATCTTGGCGCTCCTCGGTGGACTGCAGGCCCTGGGAAAATGTCTTCAACAGTAAGCGCTGTCCCGTAGCAGTGGCGCCAGGTGGGCTGGGAAGGGCTGATTTAAATCTCGGGCAAGAAGACTCCCACGTGAGAAGGGAGTGCTTTGGGGCCCTTGGGACATGAGGCTCAGAGACAGGCAGAGACGTCCCAAGGGCACACAGCAGGCCAGTGCAACAGTGGGCAAAGGACCCCAGTGTCTGGCTCCCAGGTGGTCTCAGGCCTGGCAGGGACATGCAGGTGGTGGTGAGAGCTGCTGGGGCCGGGCAGGTGGGCAGGCATCAGACAGCCGTGAGGGAGGCACTGCTGAGGACACGCACGGCCACGGTGCCCGGCAGGTCGCTGGGCTGCCGGCTGCTGCGGTCCCGCAGGTGGAGGGTGTGCAGGGCCTGCAGGTCGTTGGGGTCGGCCTTCAGCTGCACCTGGCCCAGGAACTCATCCTTCAGCACTCGGTGGTTCCAGATCTGCGAGGAGATGGGAGACTGGCAGGGCCTTCCCCAAGACTAGGGACGCGGGTGTACGGGGGCGGGTAATGGCAGGAGCAGCGAGGCCTTGAGCCCACTTGCTGCAGCGCAAAGCCCAGCTGCAGGCTAAGATCCCTGCACCACCTGCCTCGCCATGAACCCTGGGCAAGGCGTCAGGCTCCCCACACATCCAGGGTTCCTCCCAGGGGCCGGTGTTGGGGCGTAAGGGATAGAGCCACGGCCTGTGACGCCAGCAACCCATAGTCTCACTATGCAGCAGTGGTGTGAGTCCTGGCTGCTCTGCTTCCGGTCCCGTGTCTGCAGCCATCCCAGGCAGCGGCTTAGCCCACTGAACCACAAGGCCCACCCTGTGGTTTCCCCATCTTCATTATTTTTTTAAATATATGTATTTATTCAAAAGGGAGAGTGAGAGAGAAGGAGAGCGAGAGACCTTCCATCTGCTGGTTCACTCCCGAAATGCCCACAATTCTCTTAAATGCTGGGCCAGGCTGAAGCCAGGAGCCAGGAACTCCATTTGGGTCTCCCAGTGGGTGGCAGGGGCCCAAGTACTTGAGCCATCATCTGTTGCCTCCCCAGCTGCATTAGCGGGGAGCAGAGTAGCCAGGACTCAATCCGTGCTCTGATATGGGAGGTGGCAACACAAGCGGTGGCTTAACCCACCACGCCCCAACACCGGCCCCTTCCCCATCTTTAATGTGACGGCTGGATCAACTGCCCCTAGGGGCCTTGCAGCCCTGATACCTATGGGTCTGTGGTTTGACCCAGTGGGGCCCAGGGTTAAGAAAACGTGGAAAATCCACAGTGGCTCCCCAGGGTCCCGGGTGTTTGTTTACAGCAGGTTTCTCTCCTACAGAGACACTGCCCTGGGCCCGGGGGACAGATGGCGTCCTGCTAATGAGCCCAGAATCCTCGTACCCTGGCCACCTTCACTGAGAGCAGAAGGAAGCACACGTCCAAGGTCACTGCTCGAGACCCCTAAGTCAGCCACCCTGACCCACACCGTCCCAACCTCTGCCTGGAGGGGACTGGAGCGGCAGCTCCGAGGCGTGGGGTGAGGGCCACGGAGACGCTCTCCGCGCACAGCTAGGAGGCCGAGCCTGCTGGGCCACAGTCACACCAGTGGACCTACTGGGTCTGCCTAGAGGACCCAGGTGTGCCAGGGGTGGCACCAAGGCCACACTGAGGGTTAGGGACACACTCAGAACCAGAACCCGACCTAGGACGCAGTCAAGGGCGCTTTCCCCGTGGGGCCCCGCGCTCTGAGCAAGCTCGCAGCAGGCGGGCCCAGGAGCCCTGTGTGGGGCAGGCTCACCTGGACAGTGACGGGCTGGCCTGGCTTCTTGCGGTAGAAGACGCCCTTGACGTTGTACTCGGGAGCTGAGGTGCCCCTCTGCACGGCCGAGCGCACTGCTTCCCCCTCGCACTTGATGATCACGTAGGAGTTGGCCCCTGGAGAGAAGGCGTGGGACAGGGACTGAGGCTGGGGGCTGTGGCGGGGCCTATGAAGGCAGACTGGAGCCTGGTTCATCTCGGAGCCGCTCAGCTCCCAGACAGGCAGACCGGCCTCCAGGCCTTCACCCGTGTGGCTTCCTCTGCCCAGAGCACCCTTCTCTCCTACCCCTTTTCCCAGGCTTTATACCCTAACACCTCCTTGGCCCAGGAAATGGCCACCTCCTCCAGGGAGCCTTCGCCGAGCCTTTCCCCAGCTGCTGTTCCTGTGCCTCACTGCCCCAGCACACTGGAAACTCCTGACAGCACAAGGTATACCTCTTCCTCCCTGTGTGCCAGGCATCACCCAGGCATGGCTGGGCCCACAGTAGGCATCAGGGAAGGTTTGCTGCTTTGCTGAGTGACAGCAGGACCGCTCTGGGGGCTGGGGTCTGCACAGGTGAGCAGAAGGCTGGGGGCAATCAGCAGGAGGGCCGGGGGTGGGGGGTTGGGTGGGTGGGGTGGGATTGCCCCGAGGAAGCTCACCTGCCGGGGAGTCCTTGAGGCCTGCAGCCCCCAGGACATGCACCTGGGTCACCTGCTGAGGGTAGCCACAAAGGGAGCTCCAGCAGGTGTGGGGGGGCTCGTCCAGGCGCAGCTCCCTAATATGGGGCAGGGGAGAGAGGCGGAATGAGGGGTGGCTCCAGGAAGACAGGAGGAGAAGAGGGGGTGCAGGAAGTGGGAGGGCGGGGTGGGCATTTGGCGCAGTGGTTAAGACACAGCCTGAACACCCACAACCCAAGTCAGAGCTCGCGGGTTCGCGTCCTGGCCCCACCCTCCCTTCCAGCCTCCTGCTAACAAGCACCCTAGGAGGCACCAGGTGACGACCCAACTACTTGGGTCCCTGCCACCCATGTCGGAGATCCCGAAGAGGCTCCTGGTTCCTGGCTCTGGCCTGGTCCAGCCCCAGCTGTTGCAGGTATTTGGGGAGTGAACCAGCAGATGGGGGAGGTCTGGCTCACTCTCTCTGCCTTTCAAAGAAACAAAAATAAAGAAAGCAATCCACTAGTCTCCTCCCTTCAAAAAAATAAAGTGGACAGAGAGGGAAGCAGTGCTCTGTTGTTTCATTTGAGTCCTGGGCAAAAGCCCCGGGCATCCTGGACCACCCGGGCTTCCCCTTCCCTCCCCCATCCCAGGGGGCTGCAGCGCCCCCCAAGGGAAAATCCATGAACGGAGCACCTACTGTGTGCCGGGCCCTCGCTGGGCTGTTGCTCGTATTATTGCTAATCCTCAAAGACCCCGGGAGCCAGGGGAACGTGCTTATGCCCATTCTACAGATCAGGATGACTTGGCCCACGGGGGGGGGGGGGGCTTGCCCACACAGCACAAAGTGGCAGAGCCTGGGCTGGCAGACTCAGGGCCATCAGTCGCACCACAAACAGCCTCCCAAGGCTGGGACATGGGGACACGGAGTCTGGGCTGCACCCCGAGATGGGCAGGGCAGTGTGGGACCAACAGGGCTGCACTTCACAGGGATGTGGTTGGTTTTCAAAGTTCACTGGGCCCAGAGGCAGCCCCCAGAGGGCAAGGGATTATGGTGACAAGACCCCAGGACCCTGGGATCAGACAGGCTGGGAGGCCTTGCCTGACTCCCCCACTCACTTGGCCTTGGACACCCCTCTAACCTATGTTCCTCTGTCAGGCCTCCTGCTCAGGGGCACAGGGAGCTCCAAGGAGATGAGCGAAAGCCTCTGTAAGCCAGGAAGCACACTGCAGGGGGGAAGCTGGCACGGGAGCCTGGCAAGTGAGAGGACGAGACAGCCCTGGTGGCAGGACTGGGCAGCTGGATGCCTGGGCACCACGCCTTATGCAGAAGCAAGCACCTTGGGCTGCAGACCCCAGTCAGCCCAGTATGCACCCCTGGGCCTGAGCCAGCCCCCGTGCACCTGCAGTTGGCGGGTACATCAGTGAAGACTCGGAGCAGGAACTCGCCGGTGTGGCCTGGCTCGAAGGTGGTGGGGATGATGACGTAGCGGCCTTCGGGCTGCTCGGTGCGCAGGAAGACACTGCGCGAGTTGATGTAGATGGAGCTGGCCGCCTTGTGCTGCAGGCTGTGCATGCGGTACTGGCGGTTCTCCTCCACCTGCGGGCAGGCCAGAGGCTGGGCTACGCCTCCACCACCAGAGGCGGGGCCACTCCGCCCCACCCGGCCCTGGGCCACCCATGGCCCCTCGACACTGGGGAAGGGGACCCGGAACCCATTTAGATGAAATGTCCAGAGCAGACACAGCTATGGGGGCAGGAGACTGGCAGTTGCCTAGGGCCAAGGGGGCAGGGGGCTGGGCGCTGATGATTGGAAGAAAGATTGCGTGTGGTGCAGGGCTAGGGGGTGTGGCGACATCTAAAATGCACCGTGGTGATGGTTCCGCAACCCTGTGGCCACAGCCGAAGAAACTACATCAGATTCTTTCAAAGGGCAATTGTGCAGTCTGGAGTTTGAGCTCCATAAAAACCGTCCAGGGTCACAGCCGCGTGCTGAAGGGACCTGCCAGCTGCCAGGGTGTACCAGACAATCCTCCAGACAGGTGCCGTGACCTGCTGTCATCAAGTCAGTAGGGTCAGACACCGCAATGTCGCAACAGTGTCCCAGCACGTCAGCACACAATGAACGCACCAGCTTGGTGATGGGAACACATTGCCAAGGCTGACGCCCAGGGCCCCAGGGTGGACCAAGTGCTGGCCTACCCCCGTGCTTTCATCAGGTGCCCGGGGTCTGACAAGCCCGGGGGGCCTCACCATGCCCACTGGCACCACTCACGGGGCATCACCCCCTGGGGAAGGGCTCAGTTTCCAGGCCAGGGGGAGAGGCGGGGGTGAGGCTGCCCGGCCTGCCCAGCAAAGCCCTGACACGGAGATCCGGCAGCTGTGGAGGGCAGAGCAGCCGGGGGCCCAGCTGCCCCCAGGACCACCCACAGCAAGCCCAAACCACCACCAACCCTCCCCTTGTTCTTCCACCAAACAGCCCGTGGCTGTGGGTCTCAGCAAGGAAGAAATTAGGCTGAGCACTCCCCTCGGAAGCCGGGCCCACGCCATGCCATCCCCACGGCGGCCAGGTGTCCAAGAGCGCTCGGTCCCGGCTCCGGCGGCCTCGCCCTCCGAGCTCTCGCCCCAGCTCCGGCGGGCCTCACCTTGTAGATGTCGAAGCCGATGGCCAGGTTCTCACCCTTGCCCTCCCGGCGGGTGGACCGCTTGGGCCGCTGCTGGATGCAGATCAGCACTTCATCTTCCGGCTTCTTGACATCAAAGAGGTACTGCAGGTGTGGCCGCGGAAACAGACACAGACACTGCTGTGGGACCACGCTGAGGCGGGCTCGCCAGCCCCCTCCGGCAGCCAGGACTCAGCCACGTGGAGCGCATGCGTGGCGCAGTCACGTGACCCCTCTACGCCTCGGCCCCTCCCCCGCGACACAGGCCTGGCGGCGCTGACCACGGGCGGCGCAGCAAGGCTGGGAGGAAGATGCTGGCGCCTGGCCGGGGCCCAACAAAGGCTCGCCATGGAGCGTGAGGTTCGAGTAGCTGCCGCAGGTCATGCCGGGAGCCCCGCCTGGCCAGATTCACCAGGAGCTTGCAGTGGGAATGAGAGGTCTGAGTCCCTGGCTTGGTCCCTAAATGTCCCTGAGACTCTGGGCACGACTGTCACTACCAGTCCCTCCGAGCTGCAGTTTTGTCATTTTTACCCTCGCAGGTCAGAGTGAGAGGCTGGGGCTGTAGGACCCGTCCCCCGCCCCCGAGACGGGACCAGCAAGCCCATCTAACCCCCCTGGACAGACGGGCACCCAAGGGCACGAGGAGTCCCTGGCAGGGCGGGGGTCCGCCGGGGGGCCCACCTGCGGGTTCTGGAAGAAGGTGTCCTTGTGGTTGATGCAGCCGCCGCTGCGGTTCTGCCTTGGGTCCTCGTGCCGGGTCCAGGCGCCCCGCAGCCGGGCCTCCTCCCACGTCTTGTGGATGCTCAGGTAGGAGGTGTTGAGCACGCGGCACTTGATGATGTCGGTGAAGTACCGGCACACGTCCTCGAAGGTCATCCTGGGCGTGGCAGGTGCCAGAGTGGGCTGTGGGGACGCAGGGGCCCCTTCCTGCCCAGCTCAGGTTACAGGGGAGGCGGAGAGGCTCAGAGAGAGGGCGCGGCTCCTGCGCTGCCACAGGGCGAGGCGCTGCCGCTGACTGCCCCCACCCCCGCCCCCACCCCCACCCCCGGCCAGGCCAGCACACTGACCAGAACTCGCCGTCATCCTGCACGGTCACGCCCATCTTCTCCCGCTCGCTCTTGCTCACTTTCTGCCATTCCTCGGAGCTGGGATATGAGGGAGGGAGGGGAGAGGTGGGGCCCCACTGGAACCACCCAGCCAGTGCAAGGGGGTACAGTTCAGTGCCAGACCTCCCTTGGAGCGCACGGCTGGGTCCCCTGAGAGGCCCTGCCGCCCCCTCCCACTGTCCCTATGCTAGCCCCAGGAGACCCAGAGAACAGCGGCAGGCGGGGCTCAGGGCATGGCCCTGGGCGAGGGTGGCTCCTTCACTAGGGCCCATAGGCCACACTGTCATCCCCTCTCCCTCCCTGCTGGGGGCATCCCCCAGCCACCTACCAGCCTAGTCCCCAAGTCCCTGCAGGGCAGCTCACCCGCCGGACCTTTGCCCATGCCGAATCCATCACCCTGCACCATCCCAAGGAAGCCTCCCTTCTTCTGCCTTCCCAGCATCACCGGCCCCAGCCCCCGGGAGGCCCAGCCCTCCTGCCCTATGCCCAGGCCTCACGTGTCACTCCAGGGCCCGTTCCACTCCCGCTCGCCCCAGGGGTTGCGCAGGCGGATCATGTCCAGCTTCTCTGACTTGAAGAAGGCCAGCAGGCCGTGGCCTAGGCGCACCTTGCGCACGTCGGTGACAGCGTATGCGTGGCCCTTCACCAGGCCACACGCCAGGCGGGCCTCCATGTCTGCAGCTGTCACCGCCTGCAGGAGGACACAGCCACTCAAGAGAGGCAAAAGGCAGGTGGGACTCCGGGGCTGGAGCTAGAGCCAGGAGACTGCAGCACCCCCTACAGGATGGAGCAGGAACTGCAGCCCCCCACACGACCTTGGAGGCTGTGATGGGGCAGTACTGTGTCCGCAGGTCTGACAGACCCTCACAGGGACAGCAATGGGGTCAGCTCCAAGGCATGCAGGAGCTGACTCACACTGGCTCAGTTGATCGTTAAACATTCAGGACTTTTGAGAGTGGGTTTTTGAAAACACCTGCAGCTGGAAACCAACCCCGGTGAGTCTTCACACCAGAGACATCAGTGGATGCCGCCAACCAGGGCTTGTTACTTCTCTGCAGCCTGTTTATCAGCAACCTCAAGGTCAGGTAAACCTGGATTCAAATCCTGCCATCTCTGAGCCCCCACTTACGCAGCCAATCATGAGCCGCAGGTGAGATCAGATGACCTTCTCGGAGCACCTGGCCCCGGGCCGGCTCTCTGTGGGGCTCCCTCCCCTCCCACCTGCCCTGAGCTTCTGGAGCCTCCCACGGTGAGCAAGGGAGCCTCAGACGCCCACGACACTCAGAAGCGGGGTGTGGCTACAGCGTGCGAGGCTGAGCGTCTGCAGTATGAACCAGCCTGGGACCTGGCAGCTTGCGTCCCAGGTGGGGCAGGAGGAGGGGAGGCCCGCCTGGCATCCTCACCTTGATGGAGGCGCTGATGAGGCCTCCCCGGGTGTGCACCTTTAACATGCGCTCGAAGAGTTGGTTCCTCTTGGCCTCGTCGTTGGCGAAGTCCCCCTCCATCAGGTCAATGGGCTCCGAAACGCCACCGGTGAAGTCCACCAGTGCGTCCGCCGTGTTGCCCCCATCCAGCGCCTGGTAGCAGCCTGCCAGCCTGGGAGGCAACGTGGAGAGAATGCCCCGATCAAGCTCCCAGCCAGAGCTCTGAAGCCCAGAGAGGTCACGCAAACTGCAATGGCCGCACAGCAGGCCACAGCGGAGCCCAGGCCACTCCCAAGCCAACACCACCCAGCCATGGCATTCAGTGGCTCAAGCCCCTCTAAGCCTCAGCAGCTCGTCTTTAAAAATCAGTTTTTAAAAATCAGTGCAAAAATGTAGCCACTCTATTCCAGTCAGAAGCTCAGAGATCTTTGCTGTGCTACTTCTGGCTAGGCAACAGGGTTTATAGTGGTGGCAAATCCGAGACAACCTAATCAGACAGGAAACTCCTTTGAAAGCTAATGCTGCAGCCACACCATGGAAGGAATTCCTGCCACAGGGAACCAGCTGGAGATTCTTGTTACACTGAACAAAGCAACACTGTTGCGTTCCAAATCCTCTGACCATGTAAACTAAAAGCCACTTAAGGGGCGGGTGCTGTGGCATAGTGGGTTAAGCTGCCTATAGCGTCAGCACCCCATATGGGCGCTGGTTCAAGTCCCGACTGCTCTACTTCTGATCCAGCTCTCTGCTATGGCCTGGGAAAGCAGTGGAAGGTGGCCCAAGTCCTTGGGCCCCTGCACCCACATGAGACTGGGAAGAGGCCCTGGCTCCTGGCTTTGGATTGGCCCAGCTCTGGCTGTTGCAGCCATTTGGGGAGTGAACCAGCAGATGAAAGACCTTTCTCTCTCTCTCTCCCTCTCTCTGTGTGTAACTCTGCCTCTCAAATAAATAAATAAACTCTTTAACAACAGAAAAAAATAAATAAATGGGGCTGGCACTTGGCACAGCAGTTAAGACACCGCTTGGGATGCCTGCATCCCGCATGGGAGTTCCTGGTTCAAGTCCCGGCTCCTTCACCTTCAGGGCTTCTTCCTGTTAATGTGCACCCTGGCAGGCAGCAGGTGGTAGCTCCTACAGCTGCGTCCCTGCCACACATGGGGGAGGCCCGGATGGACTCTGGGCTCCTGGTTTTGGCTTGGCCCAGCCCTGGCTGTCACGAGCATTTGAGGAGTGAACTAGAGGATGGAAGAGTTCTCTCTAATGAAAAGAAATAACCACTTTAAAAATTAAATTAATGTAGCAAAACAAGCAAGCACAGAATGGTCCAGCCAGTGTGGAAAATTGGCAGTTTCTCAAGATAAACAGGAGGGGGTTTGGTGTAGTGGGGTTTGGTGACCTGCTTGGCAGGCTCACATCCCGTCTCGGAGTGCCAGGGTTCGAGACCCTGCCCCGGCTCCCTGCTGACACCTCCTGGAGCATCAAGTGCTGATCCATAGGAGATCCAGATGGGGCTCCAGGCTCCTGGCTTTGGTCTGGCCCAGCCCTGGCCATTGTGAACCAGAGGTTGGAAGATCTCTCTCTCTCTCTCTCTCTGTCTTTCCCTCTCTGCCTGCAACTCTTCCTTTCAAAAAGATCAATCTTTAAAAAGCATTAAAAATTGAACAGAACTGACCCTAGCTTCACTCCTAGGCACTACTCAAAAGAACGGAATGATGTGTGCAGACTCCTATACGTAGCCAAGCTCTGACGACCCGTGCCCACCACGGCCGGGTGGGTAACCACGTGTTCCCCACACACAGCGGCATGAACGGCTGCCATGGAGACAGCTCACTGCGGGGCAGAAGCAGACGTACGCTAAGGCACGGGCAAACTCCCAGAGCCCAGGGTGCTTCCCCAGGCCCGGGGTGCAGGGCAGGCACTGCTGGGGATGCTGAAAAGGGTTCAGGCATCGAGGGTGGTGATGTCACACAGCATCGTGACTCGAATGCCACCCAACTATAGACTCAACGCACTGCCGACACAAGAAATACGTGGCCTGTGTACACAAAGCAAGGCCACGGTCAGAGCTCCTGGGCGGCGCAGGCTCAGTGGCCGCCAGGGGGCAGGCTTTGCTGTCTGAGGAGTAAGCACAGACCCTGCCAATGCTGTTTTCCTGTTTCTGATGTTGGGAATATTTGTTTTTCTCCTCTCCTCTCCTCTCCTCTCCTCTCCTCTCCTCTCCTCTCCTCTCCCCTCCCCTCCCCTCTCCCCTCTCCCCTCTCCCCTCTCCCCTCTCCCCTCTCCCCTCTCCTCTCTCTCTCTCTCTCTCTCTCTCCCCCCACCCCAACTCCCCACATTTTCCAAGGAGACTGACCAGGGGCCCGGGAGGAAAGCCAGCAGGGCCGGTGGGGCTATCCCGGAGCCTCCGTGCCCCGACCTCCACCCTCTCCCTCCTTGGCTGCTCGGCATCTCCCCTTGGGCCCATCCTGTGCCAGGCTCTGCGCTGGAGGCAGGGACCCAGGGCTGACACTCGGCAGGAGGAGGGCTGGGTGGGCAGACAGGACTGAGAGGCCGGGTGTGGGGCAGAGGCCGGGTGTGGGGCAGAGGGCGGGGAAGGCAGGCACTGGCCCACCCTCCACACGCAGCCCCGCCTCAGGGAGGGCCCAGCAGCCCTGGGCCTTTGCCAGGATCGGAGTGCGAGTGCGGGCCCTGCCCTGGCTACCTGCAGAGAACGTGCCAGGCCTCAGCACCTCCTCTGTAAGACGAGGGACCCTTCCCCACCGCACCAGGGCCAAGCCTCCACCGCAGCAGGACAGGAGGAGCTGGCCCTGCTCCCCACCACGCCTGCCGGAGCCCCCTGCAGTGGCGGCGGGCACCTACTTGGCATAGGCCTTCTCCACCAGCGCACACCAGAACTCGCGGCGGGAGTTGGAGTGGCAGTAGATGAGTTGGTTGTTGACGGTGGGCAGCCGGTCATCGATGACCACGTCCACCCACTCGCCAAAGCGCCAGAAGTGGAAGTGGAAGATGCCCGCATAGGCGTCTGGCTTCTCGGGGTCCCATTCCTGCTCCTTCCAGTCTGGGATGACCTGCATGGAGACAGAGCGACCAGGATGGGGGAGGTGCAGGGGGTGCAAGTTCACTGTCGTCAACCAGTGTGGGCCTCAGCCGGCTAAACCCTTCCCACCTGGGGGCCCGCAGGGGGTGGGGCTCCCTTAGGCTCCTCCCATTAATCCCCTCTGGCCTCCCCTCTCCCCCCAGGCCTCTCCCTGTACCCTGTCCCCACTCACCTGCAGCCACCCAGGCCGGCCCAAGTTGGAAGCTGGCAGCACGCCGGCCTTCTCTCCCCCTTCCTCCACCCAGTCAGGCCCATGCCAACCCCAGCACGGCTCAGGGATCTGGCTCCTGCCCTCACTGGCATCACCCTGGCTCAGACATCTCCTGGGCCAGGGACCCCGTGACAGCCCTTGCAGCTACACCTGCCCTCGCCCCACACAGCGATGATCCCTCTGATACTGTCAATTCTCCTGAAAGTAAGACCCACCCCCGCTGTGCTTTGTCTCCCACCCCAGCTGTGCTCAGCCCCACGCCATGCTCTGCCCACCTCCCCAGCCACACTGCACCCCCCCCACAGTAGCCCCCACCCTGGCTCCACACCTGCTCTTCCTCCTCACACCCATTTGCCCTCTCGTGTCCAACCTCCTCCTCCAGGAAGCCCTCCCTGACTCTTCAGACTAGGCTAGGATCCCTATCCATCCATCCCACGGCCCCAGGTACTTCATATCTGAGATACTTATTTTTATTAGTTATAATTAAATAACTGTGGGACACTGTGCTCAAGTCTGAGCCTCTCACTGTGACACCAGTTCTCTGAGGTCAGGGCCACAGTAGCCACTGCTACGCACCTGGCCCCTGGTCCATAGAGTGGGCTCAGTGAGCACACTGGCTGAGTGACTACTCCACACACATCTCTATGATGTTCTGAGCCGGCTCAGAGAGGGAAGAGAATGTGTGCAGGGTCCCACAGCTGGAGACCCCCACGTTCACATGCTCTCTGGCTTGTCCAGGACTCACAGGCAGGGCAGGAGGAGCTGTGCGCAATGGGCACGGAAGAATGGAGGAACCAGACTCTCCCTGGCCACACGAGGCTCCGGTCTGGCAGGACAGGCAGGCACTGGGGCCAAGCACTGAGACCAGCACAGGCACACACAGGGCTGTGAGGGGAAAGGAGCGGCAGACCCCCCCCCCCCAGTGGCCCTGAGAGCTGGCAGAGGACAGCCCCCGGTAGATGAGGACACACAGGGACGCTGTGGGCATGCGGGTACATGGGGGAGTGAAAACCTCTTACTCTGCCAGTCAGGTGAGTGGCCCGGGGGCCAGAAGCTGCCCCAGGACACCCACGACACCTTGCCTTTGGCCAAGTTGCCCCCCGCCCCCACCCCCACCCTGCCCTGCCTCTCCCCATAAGCAGGCTGGCAAAGGGAGGTGCTCCCTGGCAGGGCATTTGAGACCCAGGAAATGAAGATGTCCAGTGCAGCAAGAGGTGGCTCTGCCACCAGCAGAGCCTTCTGGGTGCTGGGCGTGGGGCCAGGCTGCTCACCATCACCCCTCAGTGCAAGTCCCAGGGCGCCAGGCGCGGGGCCAGGCTGCTCACCTCACCCCTCAGTGCAAGTCCCAGGGAGTCAGGCGTGGGGCCAGGCTGCTCACCTCACCCCTCAGCACAAGTCCCAGGGAGTCAGGCGTGGGGCCAGGCTGCTCACCTCACCCCTCAGTGCAAGTCCCAGGGAGTCAGGCTGCTCACCTCACCCCTCAGCACAAGTCCCAGGGCAACGCCACAGGAAGTCGCCCGCAGACGGCTGTCCCCAGTGCAGGTGAGAGAGGCAGGATTCAAACCCGGGGCTTCTGAGCCTGGCGGGGGCCCAGGCCTGCTCCCTCCCCACCTCCTCACCTCCCTCAGTCCCCTCTATGTCCTTTCTGAGAGACACTCCCAGGCCAGCCCCACCCTCTCCCCCACTGAGCTCTCAGGACAGATAGCTGTACAGAGAGAAGCAAGGACTTACCCCAAGGCACAGTGCAACAGGGAGTCCTACACCAAGAACACGGGCCTGACCCGCAGCTTCCACGCGGTGGGGGGAGGGGGGGGCTGCTGGGAGGCACTGCTTGGACCCAAGGGGATCATTAGCCAAACTCAGGGCTTGTCCCAGAGTCTTCTGTGCCTCAACGAACAGCTGATGAGGCCCCAGGGCCTGGGGAGCCGGAGTCAGAGCTCCCGCGGGCCTTCCTTTCCCCTCCGGAATCCCTGCCCTTGGACTTGGCATGTGATGGGCCCTGGGTCAATTGGTCAGCCCCTCTGCCCTCTGCCCCTTTGCGGCCAGCAGGGACCGTGCAGCTGGGAGGACAGAGTCTAGGCAGGCAGCTCACAGGCACGCACCCTGAACACGGGCCCCCAGCACATGGGGCTGTGCCAGGGGTCAGGAGGCCACCAAAGTCTCCTGCGACGGGGCTGGGCACAGACAGCGACTGTGCGGGATGAAAGCCCCCCGAAGCGCAGCGCTGGGCTCACACACACGGACAACAGAGGCCTCCGGAGGACAAGGGAGAGCCGACTCAATTTTTAGAAACCAAAAAATGAAGGTAAGGACCCGGCACTGATCCTGCCAGTGCTGCACACACCGCAGCAGGGTCAGCCCAGTGCGACCAAGGCCAGGCCCCGTCTGGAAGAGAACTGCAGCCAACGCAGGAGGAGGACATGGGAGCCAAGCCTGCCACCCCTCTGCAGCGGCGGTGGCCAGCGGCTTCCAGCATCAGGAGGAGACCCCAGACAAGGGCTTCAGAGAGTTCATGAAAAATGGAATTAAAAGATAAGCTTAGGGGGCAGTGCTGTGGCATAGCAGGTAAAGCTGCCATCTGCAGTGCCAGCATCCCATATGGGCACCGGTTCAAGTCCCAGCTGTTCCACTTCCGGTCCAGCTCTCTGCTATGGCATCAGTAGAAGATGGCCAAGTGCTTGGGCCCCTGCACCCATGTGCTTCGGTCTGGCCCAGTTCCAGCTGTTGTGGCCATTTGGGGAGTGAGCCAGTGGATGGAAGACCTCTCTCTGTAATTCTTTATCTCAAATAAATAAATCTTTTTTTTTAAAAAAGATAAGCTTATTTTAGTCCAAAAAATTATTGACATTCATGCAGTTTTTTCATAATACAAATTTCCATGAACTTTTGGAAAAGTCCCTGTAAGTGTGAATTTAAAATACACTGTTTTATTTCTTATTCATTGTTATTTTACTTCCAAAGCAGAATGACAGACAGAAGCAGAGATTTTTCACCCACTGGTTCATTCCCTAAATGCCTGCAACAGCCAAGGCTGGACCAGGCCAAAGCCATGAGCCAGGAACTCCGTGGGGTCACACATGTGGGTGGCAGGGACCCTACTGCTTGAGCCATCAGCCGCTGCCTCCCAGGGTTTGCGTTAGCAGGAGGCTGGAGAAGTGGCGCGGGGACCTGCATGCAGGCACTCTGATCTAGGACACAGGCAACCCCAGTGGCATCTTAATTACTACGCTAAATGCCCACACCTCAACAAAAATTTAAGACTTATTTATTTATTTGAAAGAGTTACGAAGAGAGAAAAAGAGAAAGAGAAGGAGACAGAGACAGAGACAGAGAGATCTTCCATCCACTGGTTCAGTCCCCAAATGGCCACAACAGCCGAGGTAGGGCTTGGGTAAAGCCAGGAGCCAGGAACCTCATCCAGTCCTCCACAGGGCTCCAAGCACTTGGGCCATCTTCCACACTGCTTTTCCCAGGCGCGTCAGTAGGGAGCTGGATTGGAAGTGGAGCAGCCAGGGCTCCAACCAGCGCCCATGTGGGACGCTAGTGCTGCAGGCAGCAGTTTAACCAGCTGCACCACAGCACTGGCCCCAAATAAATAAATCTTGAACAATAAAATTAAATACACTTCTCTCTTAATTTCATTTTCCATGAATTTTTTGAAGTACGCTCATACATGACATCTATGAAACAGTCATGCCAAAAAAGAAAAGTGAAAGGGGAATTAAGCAATTGCAATGCTAGGCTTTTGTTTAGATCGCATTCAAATAAACAAACTGTACGACGAACTTATGTAGAGCGCAGACTGGAACCCGGAACGTGTCCTGCGGATTCGGTGATGTCAGAGAATTACTCTAAAAATACCTCGGTGGTACACTGGTATTGTGGTTATTATTACTTAAAATAATTTTTATTTGAGAAGCAAAGAGGCAGAGAGAGCAACAGCAAGAGTGAGAATGAGAGTGAGAGAAAGGAGCAGTCCCATCCACTGGCTCCCTCCAGGGCAAAGATGGGAGTTCGGGACTCAACCCTGGTCTCTCACGTGCAAGGCAGGAACCCAGTTACAGACCCTGGCCTCCCAGGCTCTGCTCTGGCAGGAAGTTGGAGCCAGGAAGGGAACCCACCCTGATTTGGGATGCCCGGCAACTTAACCTTGAGGCCTAACGCCTGCCCTTGGTTGTTAGCCCGTGAAACGAGTCCTCATCTCTCAGAGGTGCACGCAGAAACGCTGACACACGAAATGGATCTGCAGACTGGGGAAACGGAAAGGTGTGAGTGGACCAGGCCGTGCTGTGGAGAGGGTGGCGGTCAGCTGGCCCCGCGAGTGTGTGCAGACCGCAGCAGGCCCGCCCCCCAGCAGGAGCCCTGCGGACCCTTGCAGACTCATCCTCCCACATGCCAGACACCAGTAGGGGCCCCTCTGCGCCTGTCCCCTTCCTGGGGCCTCCCTGCAGGCACCCCGCCCCGACTCCCCACTCCTTGGAAGGAGGTCCGTGGAGGCGGGGCCGAGTCTGTCTCCTCCCAGCGCTCAGCACAGGGCCTAGCCCAGCTCCCAAACAGGAAGAACCCCTGGTGCAGGACGGCGCCGACCCCTCCCAGAGAAGAGAAAGGAGAATCTCAATGTGGGCTCCCTCGGCGGCCGCTGAGGCTTCTCCATGGCTGGCCCGGCAGTGGGGTGAGGGCTACAGAGGGTTTAGGGCCTCCCTCACACCCCAGGGACGTGATCCCTCAGTAGCCATCCACGACACAGCAGCGCCCACAGGGCCCCTGGGGCAGCAGCAGACCCTGCCCGGCTTCATGGTGACAGAGGGGGCTGGGGGGGAGGTCAGCAAGCCAGGGGCTGGAACCGCTCAGGACCTGGGTGCGAGCCTGTGCCTGTGTGAAGTGTGTGAGACGCTGAGACACGGGAGGGAGGGGTGCTGATTTCTGTTTGGGACCAAGAGGACAACAACACGGCCAGGGCTGCAGTGGGGCCCCCCGGTGCCTAGGCTGGGCGAGGTGGGCATGGCGCCTCTTTTTTTTTTTTTTGACAGGCAGAGTGGACAGTGAGAAAGAGATAGAGAGAAAGGTCTTCCTTTGCCGTTGGTTCACCCTCCAATGGCTGCCACGGCCGGCACAGCACGCTGATCTGAAGCCAGGAGCCAGGTGCTTCTCCTGGTCTCCCATGGGGTGCGGGGCCCAAGCACTTGGGCCATCCTCCACTGCACTCCCGGGCCAAAGCAGAGAGCTGGCCTGGAAGAGGGGCAACCAGGACAGAATCCGGCACCCCGACCGGGACTAGAACCTGGTGTGCCAGCGCCACAGGCGGAGGATTAGCCTATTGAGCAGCAGCGCTGGCCACCTCTTGGGTATTAAACATTCTGTAGGTCCCTGGTGCTGAAAGTGAGATTCCTGTTCCCAGTTGCTGATTCCCACACTGGCAGAGCCCAGAATGGCTGGGGGCCACCCCCTTCCTCCTTGGGACAGTGTAGCCAGGTGGGCTCATCACCCAGAGATCCGGGGACAGAATCCCCAGCCTCAGAAAGAGCCCCGGCCCCTGGGCCTCTGCGTCCCAGCTGTCTCTTTCCAAACACAGTGAGCCTGACCACTGTGTTGAGGGCGCAGAGCCCTGAAGGGCCCAGTGGGGCAGGTGTGGCCACATCAGTGCCACAGCCCTCTCGAGGAGTCACGGGTCCAGTGATCCCAGGGGGCTAGAGGGGACGGGTCCTGGAATGAGACTGAACATGCGGCAAGTCTGAAGCTGGGAGGAGCAGGGGCTGCCTGAGGACACCCACCCACTCCGTGCTCGGTGTACCCCTGCCAGCTCCACCCTGCGGGGGAGGGAGACACAGCCAGCCTGTCCCCCCAGGGTGGGGGGCAGAGGCAGAGGCCTCAGAGTGGCTGCCCCCACCCATGCAGCACCACAGCTGTCCGGCAAGTTGGTGGGAGGGGGCTGGGGCGTGTGGGAGCAGCCCAGTGTGGGTGCTAGGGCTGCGAGGGGCAGGGGGCCCAGTTATTAAAGGACTGTGCGAGAGACTGCACACCCCCGAGGCGAGGACACAGGCTTTATTGCAGACACGCAGCGGGCACGGCGGAGGCCCTCAAACCGGTGGGGCAGGGTAGGGGGCAGGCAGCCTGGCCCAAGAGGCCCCGGGGCTGCAGGGAGAGGTCCAGTAACTGGGCAGAGGAGGCAAGCCCATCCTGGAACAGGCCCCAGGCGCAGAAGCTCCACCCACAGGGCCCTGAGGGTGACAACCCACTCCTGCTCGCCCCGCTCTGACGCTGCTGGGGATAGCTCTAGCCTCCTGCTCCCGGGCCCCGAGTTCCCCCAACAGCTCTGCTCAGGAGGGGAGGCTCTCACTGGCCAGAGAGAGAACACAGGGCTGCGCCCAGGACAGGCCTCTTGCTCCAGGGAAGGCCCTCTGGGAATGGGAACAAGGCCCAGGGCCAGAACGGAACCTGATGGTAATCGTACCTCAGTTTCCCCATGATGACCAGGGTGTACCCAGTGGCCTTAGGAGCCAGGGTCCCACTGCCCCATCACTGCTGCTGCCGACCACCAGTCACCATAACTGCCCCACCGTCTAGACCTTCCCCCTCCTGCCCCCAGCACCACTACAGCAGCCCCAGAAATGCCAACACAGGTGACGCCAGGAGGGAGCACTGGCCAGCCCTGACCAGCGAGTGACAGAAGCCCGGCTGCCGGGCGGCCTGGACACCACACCTTGGACGCCCCACACAGCTTCCCGTTTCTGGGTACTGAATCCTGCTCTGTGGGAAGCTCCATCTCCCGGCTCAGGAAGCCCCGCTGAGGGCCACCTGGGGCCAAACCTACAGGGCAGGCCCGGACTCCCACACTCTGCCCACACGGACGCTATGTGCTTCCAGTCTGTGCGTGCTTCCACAGACAGGCAGACCTCCACACGGCTTCCCACGGGTCCCCCTGAATCCACGGCTCCATCCTGCCTCCCTTCCCAGGGCAACTTCGCCCCCCTGACCAATCAATCCTCCGGCGATCCTGCCCCACATGCCGAGGGCCCCTAGGGCACTGTGGGGCCACGTGAGGCTGTGGCCAGGAGCAATGCCTTCCCAGGTCCTCAGGCTGGGTCCACCACCGGATGCGGGCTTCAGCAAAGGGCACGGTGCCAGGGGGCAGCGACCACCTGCTTGCTGGAGTCCTTAGGGACGCTGCCCCTGTCCTGTTGGGCTGGGGGGTTCTCTGGATCTTGGGTGTCTCTCTAGATATCTGCCAGTCTCTCTCTCTTTCCCACACTGGAGCGGCAGGAAGAAGGGGCCATGACCCCGCCTCAACCAACTACAGCGGCGGCGGCGCCAGCGGACAGTCCAGCTTCTATACTACAGAGCCTTCTGTGAGCTGTGCAAGCAGAGGATGGAGGCCGTGGGGCCCAGGGGACCCCGGCCCAGCTGAGGACGGGCAGAACTGCTAGAAGAACGCCCCCTAAGACACAGCAGCGAGGAAGGAGACGCCGGCAGGGGCGGGGGCAGGCGGGCGGGAGGAGGGGCAGCGGCAAGCAGCTGCTGTCAGAGCTGGTTAAAGACCACCGAGGCCTTGAGGTTGGCGGGCTCCAGCCCCTCGCCGAAGGTGATGAGGAAGTACATGACCTTGCGGATCCTGGCCAGGTCCGACAGGCGCTCCCCGAACTCCAAGGCATCCGCCTCATTCCAGTCCATGGCGTCCGAGTCCTCCTTGCGCCAGAAGATGGCGGCGGGGTCCAGCAGCTGGCGCGTCATGAGGTTGGTGAGGTCGGGCGTCCAGTTCTGCGAGGTGCCCGTGATGGTGACCTTGCCCGGCTTGTCCAGCTCCACGTTCCAGCGCTCGAACTGCAGCTTCTGCTGCTGCACGAAGTCCAGGCGGTACACGGACTCGGCCGGCCGCAGCAGCTTCTCGCCGTCCTGCCGCTTCTCCCCGCGCTGCTTCAGGCTCTCCACGCGCAGCCGCATCTGCCTGGTCAGGTCCTTGTCCAGGACCAGCGGCATGTCCAGCTGCGGCCGCTGCGGCGCCTCCTCCGCCATGGCCCGAGCACCACTGCTGCTGCTGCTCCCACCGACGCCAAGGAGCCGAGTGCGCTGGGGCCCAGGGGCCACCGGGAGAAGAGAGGCCGCCCCAGCGGGCCCCGCCTCCCCTTCCACCGGGGTCTCAAAATGCGGAGTGAGCAGAGGGGGAGTCCCTGCCTGCCTCCGCACCACCGCTGGCAGAAGTGAGATGCGGGCACTGCAGGCAGGCAGGCAGCAGGGGGTGACGCTCCTTGGGGACCAGGCCACTGACGTCACTGCTGTGGCAACGGCCCTGACTACCAAGGCGGGCTGGGAGCCGGCTTGTTTGTGCGGAAGCGCGCACTTCTTTAAGGACGCAGGGTGGGGGCGGGGGGGGGGCAAGGAGGGGCAGAAGCCCTCCTCCCTCCAAGGAGCGGGGAACAGAGACCAGAGAAGGCACAGCTGACTTCAGGTCTGAGGTGACCCCCGCCAAACCTGGGAGGCACGCCTGACGCCCCAACCCCCACTCCCCCACACCTAGTCACTGAGCCTGTGGGTCAACTCCCAAATACCCTGGAACCTTCCCCGGACGCCCTCAGCTGCGACTCCACCATGCACCACTGCCTCTCCATGCACGGTTCTCAGGCTCCCCTGGACATGAGACCACCTGCAGGACCTAAAGCACAGACTCCCAGAGTTCTTATTGAACAGGTCTCTGACGGAACCTGGGAATTCTCATTCCTAACAGCCTCCCTGGAGGCGCTCACACTGCTGGGCCTCGGCCAATGGCTCCCAGAGTCCCTGCCCCAGATGCCTCTGCCTGCTGGTGCTGCCTCAAGCCCCAGCCCCCAGCCCCGTGATTGGGCTCTGCTGCGACTGTGACCCCACCACCTGCTCCATCTGGACCGAGCCCGTGTTGCCCAAGGGGATGGAGGCCAAGGAAGAATCCAGCAAATAATCCAGCACACGGAGGAACGGGCGTGTGTGTGGCGGGGGAGGTGAGGACCACACAGAGGGAGACACCCGACTATGGGACCACCCTGTGGCTAGAGGAGCACACAGGTAACAGCCGGCCGGGCTGAGGGTCACGTCGAGGAGTTGTTCCCACCCTCCCCTGCGTTCAAGTTTGCCCTGTGTCTGGCTGTGGACTTCGTCTTAGTCTGTGACACCACCGACTCACCCAGAAGTCCTGGGGGACAGGGACGGTCCTCTCTCCTTCCTTACTTGGCCAGCGCCCAGGACAGGGGCAGCCGCCCAGGAGACCCTCAGCAACACTCCTGGTTAAATGAATGACTGAGAGAGGCATGCTGACAGAACTGCTAATGTCATGGACCACGGGGCCCAAGGCCACGGCCAACAGAGGAAGGTGGGCAGTGGCCAAGGCCAAAATGAGACCTGGGGATGGGTGAGGAGAAGCAAGACCCCGGAGTGGTGGGATGGGAGAGACTGACCCTTTGAGACCCTCAGAGAAAGCAGCCTGGGATCTGGGCTGCGGCCAGGACAGCTACTGACTGTGGCGGCTGCAGGGGAAGGTGACAGAACGAGGGCCAGGCCAGGCACTGGCGGGCCAGGGGAGGGCTGGGTCATTCCCGGGAACCGGCGCTAGTTGGGGTAGAAAAGGCTGGGACACTGCAGGTACCAGGCCCAGGTGCCAGGGGTCAGGCAGGGGACTGGGGGTGCGGCGCCAACCACCTGCAGAGAGTCAGAGCCTGTGTAGCGAGGTCAGGGTCTGGAGGCTGCCCCTGGGAGGAAGGAGACCCCCGACTCCCAGATCCTGAGGGTGTAGGGGAGGGGCATGCGGCTTCTCCCCATGGGGACCCAGGGGCACGGGACGGGACCGCTGGGCAGGCGCGGTCTCAGCCAGAGCAAAGGAAACCAGCCTGCAGGAGGCTGGGGCTGGGGCCTCAGAGAGAGGAGAGCAGGGAGGGGCAGCAGCAGCCAGGGCAAGAGGGGAGGGGAGCTGGGGGAGGAGCGAGCCCTGCAGCTTGGAGCCAAGGGGCCAGGAGAGAGGCAGGAGGCTGCAGGTGCGGGCTGGGCCCAGTGCCGTCCGCACCTCTGCTCAGCCATCAGCTACCTGGGCAGGTGCAGGACTGAATCCAGAGGAGACATGCGAGCGCCAAACCTAGGTGTGTGGCTGCAGAACTGCATGAAACAAAACAGGACCAGCAAACAGCCACCTCTGTAACCCTGAAGGGAAGACAGAAAGACCAGAAGAACCCACAGGGAACCTTCAGGCTGGCTGCCTCTGTACTGGAAAGCTGAGGTTGCCATACACCATGGGGGACTTGGTCAAATCCTCTGTCCCCAGTTCCCACCCCAGTGCTCGGGGCCCAGTGGCACTCGGTCCACACGCAGAGAATGGACCGCCATGGGACCAGAGCACAGTGGGCTCCCACACCAGGCCAGGGGCAGCAGAGGGGCAGACACTGTCAGGCAGAAGTGAGATGGCCCAGCCCTGCCTCCCTGCGCCTCTGCCAGGTCCCGCCTCAGCACTGCCAGGCACAATACTGGCTCCCCCTGATACCAGGTGTGCGACTGGGCTCCGGTCATGGCCACGCTTTCTTCCAGCCAGAGGCCTGTCCCTGTGCCCAGGGCTGCACCAGGCTCCAGGGCAGGCATGCTCACAGGGGCCCTCAGGTCTTGCTTCAGCCAGGCCAGGCCTGATGGCAAACGCCACATCCTGATTTCAGGCTCACCAAATCTGATCACCCGAAGTCCACTGCCCTGACTCAGGGAGCATCCAGTCAAGTCCAGGACCCCCCACCAGGGAGCCCGCAGGAGGGGGAGGCCTCTGCCACAGAACAGAGAAAGGCGGCAGAAGTAAGACAGATTAAGCCGCTGTCTGGGAGGCCAGCATCCCATATGGGAGCCAGTTTGAATCCTGGCTGCTCCACTTCTGATCCAGCTCTCTGCTAATGAGGCTGGGAAAGCAGCAGAAGATGGCCCAAGTGCTTGGGTGCCTGCCACCCACATGGGAGACCCAGAAAAAGCTCCCAGTGTGGCCTGGCCCAGCCTAGTCCCAGGCATTGTTGGGAGTGAACCAGAGAATGGAAGATCTCTCTCTGTGTGTCTCTCTTTATGTAACTCTGCTTTTCAAAGAAATAAATCGGTCTTTAAAAAAAGAACAGAGAAAGGGGGGAGCTGGGAGGGCTTTGAGGTGTGCAGAGAGCCACTACTGGCCCTGCCATGCCCCTCTTGCCTCCTTAGATCTTCCCACCACCACATTGTGGGCAGGAAGGTAGGTTCCAACAGAGACCAAGAGGAGGAGCAGGGGCTGGCTCTGTGGCGTAGCTGGTAAAGCTGCTGCCTGCAGTGCCGCCATCCCATATGGATGCCGGTTCTAGTCCCGGCTGCTCCACTTCCCATCCAGCTCTCTACTATGGCCTGGGAAAGCAGTAGAAGATGGCCCAAGTCCTTGGGCCCCTGTACCCGCGTGGGAGACCCAGAAGAAGCTCTTGTCTTCAGATTGGTGCTGCTCTGGCTGTTGCAGCCAATTGGGGAGTGAACCATTGGATGCAACACCTCGCTCCCCCCCCCCCTCTGCCTCTGCCTCTGTGTAACTCTGCCTTTCAAATAAATAAATGTTTAAAAAAAAAAAAAAAGAGGAGGAGTGACCTGCCCAATCACACGGCAGGGGACCCAGCCAGGTCTGGTTTGCTTTGAATTCTGTGCCCAGACCCTGGGCCACCTCCAGGACCAGGAGCAAAGAGGTGACTTCATGGGCTGGGGTTGCACAGTAAGTTTAGCCACTGCCCATGATGCCTGAGTCCACACTGCAGTACTGGTTTTGAGTCCCAGCTGCTCTGCTTCCGATCCAGCTCCCTGCTGACAGGCCTGGGAAGGCACGTGGGAGACCTGGATGAATTCCTGGCTCCTGGCTTTGGCTGGCCCAGCCCTGACTATAGCAGCCATTTGGGGAGTAAACCAGTAGATGGCAGATCTGGCTCTCTCTGTGTCACTTTGCCCTTCAAATAAATAAATATATTTGTTAAAGTGACTTCCGGGAGGCGGAGGCATGTGTGTCCAGGTGGGGAAGCAGGGTGGCAGGGTGGGCTGAGCGATCCCCGCCCACCCCTGCCCTGCCAGGGAGACACCTGCAGGGCAACAGGCCGGGAACGGGAGGGGCGACAACAAACAGGGTCTCACCAGGGACAGCAGCGGCACGAGGCGCCTTAATGAGCTCCCCAGGGCCTCCCTTCAGTCCCCAGGGCTGTCACTGCAACAGCACCCGGAGGTGGAGTGCAATTAACCAAGAGCACCCCGCTCTGCCCTAGCCTCTGGGGGCTGGCCCAGGACACCTTCAGCCGGAGAGAGCCGCAGCCCCGCTGAAGGTCGCACAGCATCAGCCCCGGGCTCCCTAGGGGTCTGCGGCCTCTTCCTGGCTACGAGGCACAGCAGGGGACTGCCTGCGGCCAGGGCAGGGCCCGCAGAAGCTGAGGCTCCCTCTGCTAACACCCAGGCCGCTCCAAGGGGTGGGCCGCACCCCCTGCAGGCCCTGGGAGGGCTGTGGTGCTCCTGCCTGGTAGCTGGCACTGACCGTGTAGGGAGGGCGGCCGTGCCCACAACTCTCCGGAGCCTTCCCCACGCCAGGGCCCTGCTTGGCTCAGCAGGCAGCCATGAGCTGGGCCTGGCTGGCCTGCGGGGAGCTTACCTCAGAGGGGAGATGGCAGGTAAACAGGTAATTACAGGGCAGGCCAGGCAGTGGGGGCTGGCCCGACAGAATTCCCACAGGCCCCCTCCAGGCCCAGACCGAGCCCCGACCTAGCTCTCGGCTGGGGCCCAGAGGATGGAGCCGGAGGCTGGAAGGAAGCCGGAGATGGGGGAAGCCTCACACCAGAGAGCAGCGCCAGGCCTTGCGCCCCCCAGTGTAAGAATGCCAGGTGACACCAGCGGAGGAGCCCCAGCTCGGCCGCCCCAGGCCCGGCCGTCTGCAGACTACAGCCGTGGCCTCTGCTGAGGCCCCAGGTCCTCGGGCCTGCAGCTGCCCGACCCACACAGGACCAGCAGGGGCCAGGCCCCAGGGATGCCCCCCAAGGTGACACTGCCATGCAAAAGACAGAACAGGGCACCAACCAGTGTCGCCCCAGCCGAGGGCACAGCTCCCCCTGCTGGCAAGGGGTGCCTCGAAGGACAAGGAGAAACTACCCTGCCCCTCCCACCGGCCTGCAGGGAGCCCCTGACAAATGATGGCGGATGACCTAGTGCTGACCCGGCAGCCCGGGCGCCAGGTCTCACGCTGACCAGGCGCCTGACGGACACCATCTTACCGCGCCCTCGTACCTCCCCAAGAGGCAGATCCTGAGTCTGCAGGCTGAGCAACCTGAAGCCAGTAACAGGGCTACCAAGTGGGGAAGCTGGGGCTCGAACCGCAGCCTGGGAGGCTCTCAAGTCCCGCTGCCCGCCCTTTGCAGGGCAGGGAGGGACCAGGGGCACTGGCTGGAGTGTGCCGGGGGGATCTGGGTGTCCTTGTCAGCCTCCTCTCCTCCCGGGGAGGGCAGCCCTGAGCACTGCACTTAAGGGCCCTGCTGCCATGACAGGGCAGAGGGACAGACCAGAGCCTGCTCTTTCCAGCCCAAGCCATGGCCCTGGTCCGGAACACCAGCAGGCACCACCGGGCAGCCCCCCAGAGGGAGACAGCGACTGGCCCAAATCCCACAGCAGGCCACTGGTGGGGTCTCCACCCTGAACCCAGGCAGGCAGCTCCCACATTTCACAGGTGTATCTCCTGCCGAGGGGCTCTGGGGCCACTGAACTGTGCAGGGGACACGACGGGCCTACCTCAGGAGCCTGGGGCCGCACAGATCCCTGGACCTGCTCCTGCGCACGCACAGTTGGAGGGCAAGAAAAGGCAATGCTTCTGGGCCTGTACTAGGGGCCCCAGGGTCACTCCCCAGCCAGCTCTGGCACATCTGCCATGTTCAGGGCCACCCCGCCCCGCCCCGCCCCCACCCCCGCACTCACCTTCTGCCACAGGGACTCGCGGGAGGCGAGGGACGAGCAGGCTGCCACAAACCAGCAGTTGCCCACCTGGCCCTGGTGCAGGTCGTGGGAGCTGATGCCATCCACGAAGAGGCGCGGGTCCTCGCAGATGTCCTGTGGGGGTGGGGTGGGGGGCTGTGAGGCTTTGTGGTCAGTGTGGGGCTTACCCGCCTCCCCCATGACCTGGGGACATTATGTGGACTCCTGCTGCCCAAACCCAGCCTCTCCCGGGCTGGCCTGGACTGTCCTTCCCTGGCCAGAGAAGGTTCTTCTGCCGAAGACCTGGCAGTGACCAGAAAGTACAGCAGGACACCAGGAGGCTGGCCCCAGGGTCCCCACCATCCTCCTACCCTCGCTGGTCCTCCCGACCAGCCAACCCCTGGGGCCTTGGTCAGGGAGAGACAGGCGGGGTGCAGCAAGCATCTGCGATGAACAGAAAGGGGGGAAGACGGGGAACCGAGAGCAGGGACCCTGGGGGGACACATACAATCCCTCCCCCCGCCTCCTCTGACCCTCATGCCACCCAAGGAGCAGGCCGCCATTCCATTGTACGCATGGGGAAGGCATGCGTTAGGGGCTACTTCCTTACAAGTCCCCGGGAGCAGCACTCTGGAGTGAGCCCAACACAGGCTCGGGCTCCAGGCCAGGGGATGAGGCCCAGCGAGCCCTCTGCCAGGCCTCCTCCCCCGCAAAGCCATGTTCCTTCCGCTTTCTGAGCATCCGTGTGTGTAAAGTGCCCAGCACCCGGCTGTGACCCCGGATGACCGTTGACACTTTCAGATGCTCGGACGCTACGCCCTCCCCGGGCTGGGTCAGCTCGCCCGGCATCCCCATGGCCGTTTACGGCCCACTCTGGGCCCGGGGCGAGCAGCTGTCAGATGCCTGCAGGAGCAGCAGAAGTGCCCAGCTCGGCCCCTTGCCTGGCCCAGAGCCACCTCCAGAGCTCCCGAGCCCCTGCCTGTGCTGCAGGCCATGGCGGGCTGCTGCCAAGTGGGATGCTCCCTCTCCCTGGGCAGGCAGGTCTCTGCTTGGGCCTGCAGGGGCCACTCGGCTCCAGAGGCCCACACCTCTCCTCAGCATCTTCCCTCCACCCCCCTCCCATCTGGGGGATCACAGAGACTGACCTTCCACGTGCCAGGCACCGCAATCAATGCTGCCTTGGCCATGGGAGGTGGGCAATATGTCCATCCTACAGGGGAGAGGCTGACATGCTTAGCCATGCAGCCCTGGAAGGATACCACATGCCTCTGCTTGTCTCCACCTCAGCAGGTGCTCCTGGGCTAGTTCAAGTCCAGGAGTGACTTACGGACTACTGCAGGCAGCCAGCAGAGGGCAGCAGAGTCAGGATGCTGGAATTTAAATTCCTGCTCCCCGTTTACTGGCTGTGCAACCCTGGACCTGTGGCTCAACCTCTCTGTGCCTCTGTTGCCCCAGCTGTGCAAAGGAGCTGGACAGCTATCCCTGCAGGGCTGCGGGAGACCTCCACAGATCAGATCAGGTCAGGGAGGCGGAGCATGCAGCGGGGAGATGGGACAAAGGGCCCCGAGTGCTCAGGCAGGTGCTTGGGGCTCCTCTGCCCAGGGCCAGAGAAAGGGCCCCAAGTCCCCTGAGCACATGGGTGGCTCCTGACCCCTCCTGTCAGCTTGGACTGCAGGGTGGCTTCCCCAGAGCATGCTGGGTATCGCCAGCAGCATCTGTCCCAAGGCCAAGCCTCAGCAAGCCACAGGCCTCCCTGGGCTCCTTATCTTATCTCCCAGTCCTGGCCACACCCAGCCCTGACTTAGCATCTGCCTGGGAGACCAGGAAGGCAGGCAGGGTGGGGTGGCAGAGAGGACTCCAGGCACTCATGCCATGGGGAGAGACACCCCTGCCCGGTGTCCCCAGGCCTGCGAGATGTGGGAAAGGGGTCTTCAAAGCACCCTCTGCTCTCAGCCAGAGCCCTGGAACAGAGACGCAACTGCCCCACTCCATAGAGGAGGGGTCACCAGGGAAGGAAGTGGACACACAGAGGGGCTGGATCCCAGCTCTTCCAGCCTCTGCCTGGAGCAGCCCAGCCAGGCACACCTGTGCGGCAGACTCGGTGGCCCCAGCTGTGCCCTGTGTGCTTCTCCAGCCTGTGAGAGAGAGACCAGCCAGGGAGTCAGGGCTCGTGGGCTCCATCGCCCCGACTTGCTGTGGCAGGGTAGGCACTGGGGACATCAGGTTTCCCAGGAGGAGGCGTGGCCTGGGGTTCCCGCTGCACAGGGGTCCGGGCTCGCCAGCTCCAACCCAGAGAATCCACTGGAAGCCAGCAGCAGCGTCCAAAGGTCTCGTGGGGCAACTCTCAAGGGACAAACACAGAAACAGCCCATGAGAACTGGACACCCGTGGCGGGCCTGGCTGTACGAAACCACGCTGGGGAGGGGGGCACCACCAGCATCCTCTGCTCACAGGTGTAAAAGCTGAGGCACAGAGAGCTTAGGGCGCTCGTCCAGAGCAACACAGGAAGAGGTGGACTGAGGTACAAGCTCAGGAGCCTCACTCTGGAGCCGCCAGGTGGGTGACCAAGTTGCCGCCCCTCCTCCTTTTCCGCCTGTCCGCTGCACCTGCCCCCAGCCCAGCGGAGGCTGTGCAAGACGGAGGGTCAGGAGAAGCCCAGGAGCTCACTGCTAACACCAGGGCACCTGACCAGACAGGGCCGGATCCTGACCTCCCACATGAGCAGAGCGGTGACAGCAGGAGGCCAGGAGGCTGCACGGAGCAGGCCAGCGGGCTGGGGGGCTAAGGAGGGCATGGGCACTCCAGAGGCCACACCTGAGTCAGATGCTACCTCTCTCGATCCTCCTGGGCACCTGTGTCCCCATCCATCACCCCCTGCCAGCCTGCGGGCTCCAGGGCACAGCATGGGCCAACTCCGCCCTCCTCCAGCTAAGCAGGGCTTGGCAGGATCCCCAGGGGGAACGGAAGACAAACTGGCATGCAGGACTGTGCTGGTTGAGGGCCCGCTGGGATCCCGGGGCCAAGCCACACCAAGGGCTAGGAGGCGAGCGCTCTGGTCAGCATACCTCTAGGGCACAGCCTTCTGCACCTGCAGTCACCTCCTGTCCTCTGCCCAGGCCTCCCAGCAGCCCGTTAGACCGGCTCCACCGGACTGCAGGCCACAGCCTGACCCACTCCTTCTGTGCACAAAGGGAACTTGGTGCCAGCCTGGTGCACAAACAGGAATGCGCAAGCAGGGAGCACCTGCACTGCACCTGCAGAGCTCATCCGCCCTCCCCCACTCCCTCCTGACAATCTACCTTCCCCCACCTGCCCACCACCACCACTCTCCTAGAATCTCAGAACACAGAGGGAGGCAATCAGACAACTGAGCAAACTGAGGCTGGAGAAGGCAGTGGGACCTCTGCATGGGACAGGAAAGCAGGGGGCAGTCTCACGCTCGCCCTGCAGCCGCCCTCCCCCACAGCCCCACTGGCCCCTCTCCTCCCTTCTGGGCCACCTGTCAGAGGGCTCCCTGATGCCACCGCATGCTGTCCCGGGTGGGACAGAGACCCAGACGGCTGGTGCGCCCTCTGCTGCCAGACTCATAGCATAGAACACCCAGGCAAGCAGCAGGGCCTTTGCCAGGAGATGGCTTAGCAAGCTCGAGCCCCGGGGGGCAGTGCTGGCGGCCACCAGGCTGCCTCGGGGGAACTCTGCGAGGCTCCAGGGCGGATGCTACCCCAGGACCCCCAACAGTGTTCCCACAAGGACCCCTGGGCTCATGTCCAGACATGGGGGTACACCTGGCCCCCCCAGGATGACAGGTGACCCCTGGGCCAGAGGGAGGAGGCAGGTGGCTCCTGTCCACACCCTCGGGATGCCCCGGGGCTCCCAGGCCTCCCTGACTGTGCCTTTGCTTCTCTTACTTCCTTGCTGGGCCTGTAAGGGAGGCTGGGAGATGTTTGCCATCCTGGGACCAACAAAACAATGGGCCTGCAGGGCAATGGGGCGTGGGCTGGGCAGGTGTCCCAGTGGTACCTGCAGGGCCAGAAAGAGAAGGGACATTCCAGACAGGACAGGCACTGGGCAGGAGGGGACTACAGCTTGTCACCTGCCTCCCCCGAGCCAGACGCACTGCCACCTCCAGTGGTCTCAACCTCCAGAGACCGCCACGGGCAAGGATGACTCTCCCCACACAGACGAGCAAGCTGAGACCCAGGCAGGGACAAGGTCTCCTTCAAGGTCAGGCCTCCAGTAAGGCAGGGCCAAGGCCAGAGCCGAGTCCACCTGGCTTAAAAACCAGGCTCCCGGGGGCCGGCACGGCACAGCGAGTAAAGCCTCTGCCTGCGATGCCGCATCCCACGTGGGCACCGGTTCACGTCCTGGCTGCTCCACTTTCCATCCAGCTCCCTGCTAATACACCTGGGAAGGCAGCAGAGGATGGCCCAAGTGTTTGTATCCCTGTACCCACACAGGGAACCCAGAAGGAGCTCCTGGCTTCCATAAATAAACAACTACATAAAAGCCAGGCTCCTCTGTCCATTTGGGGAGTAAGGAAGGCAGGGGGCTGGTCCAAGAGACCCTCAAGAACACAGGGGCCACACCAGCAGAGGAGCTGGCAGGGGTGGGAGGGGACTCACTGGTTCCCTGCACTTCGCAGGCAGGTGCCGGAGGCAGGGATCCTGGGAAACCGAGCTGCCTCTGGCCAAAGTCCCCTCTCGTTGGCCAAGGGGCAAGCAGCTGGGAGTTAATGGTCACTCACGGGTGATCCTGCTCCACCCTTGCCATGACAGACTTGACTTCCTGTTGGCACCGCCCAAGTGTGAGAGGAGAGGGCGCCGCCAGGGCAGGGCCCTGCCAGCTCCCGCAAGCACTGCCCACTGAGTTCTCAGCTGCGCGGCAGCCACAGCGTGGAGCACACCACGCGTGCCCTGCTCCACTTGCTCTCCCCTCCTCGGCCACCGAGGGCCAGCCCGCACCTGGCCTCGCACTGCTCCCCACCAGAAGCTGGTCCCCTACTGGCATCCTGGGCCCCCTCAACTGCCACCCACCCCGCACACTGGCACCTGCCTCCACGTCCCAGGCAGGGCAGCACTGCTCCTGTGCTGTGGCCCTGCCCACCAAGGGGCCAGCAGGGAAGGCAGAGAAGAGAGCAGGTGTGGTGGGACTCTCGCACCCGCAAGGGAAGCGGCTCAGACGGCAGGCGACTCCACCAGGACACACAGCCAGCCTGCATTTCCTCCTGGCATCCGCCACAGCTGGGCCTCACCAGCCGCCTTCCCGAACCAAGACCTAAAACGTCCAGGAGACCGCTGGAAGGCAGGGGTGGCCAGGAGAGGGCCGCGAGGGGTCAGAGCGAGGACAGCAAAGAGCTCCAGTGGCTATAGCTCCTCCCCGCGCTCTCGGCTCCCCACCGCACCCACAGCCTCACGGAGGCCCTTTGAGGCCAGCCTCCTCCCCCACCCACCTCACACAGGAGGAAGAGGAAGGCATGGGAGCAGGGGCCAGAGAGGCAGGACTCGTGTGGCCAGGCCTGGAGGCTCTCGGGAGTGCTCGAGACGCAGTGCTGGGGTCAGAGATGCTAGCACGGCTCAGGGGCTGAGGTCACAGGCACAGGGGCCCCTGAGCTGGGGGCAGGAGGGCAGGCCCAGGAGCTAGGATGCTAGGGTCCTCACCAACCTCTGCCGGCCACCCGGGGGCAGCTCCCAGGCATGGGCCCCCTCCCCCAATCCCAGGTGGCCATTTCTCTACCCCTCCGTCCAAGAAAACCCAAAGGACGGCCGAGCTGGAAGGGACTTCCCATCAGTACGCTCCGCCCATTACTTACTGTGGTTCCCCAGCGGCCTGAGTCCCCTCTGCTGGCCAGGGGGAGCTTTGGACCTGTGAACCCAGCCAAGCCACACACGGCTGAGAGCCTGGCCTTCTATGGCTCCCGCTGCTCTTAGAGCAAGGGCCTAGTGCCCCGTGTCCCCACTGCACTGCTACTGCCCGGGGGCGCCATGCACTGGGCGCCTTCCTGAGGACCGGGTGGTGGGACCCACAGCCTCTCCTCAGCCCTGGGTGTCCTGGTCCAGCATGGCCTCGGCGGCAGAGTCCCTTCTGTGTGACAGCTGGGACAGGCACCGCTGGGGACCTGGGGAGGGGGTTGAGCAGGCCACCTGCAGCAGCCTCCCTGCCAGCCAGGCCCCCAGGCTGGGCAGGGCCCACAGGCCCAGTGGCAGGCCCCTCCCCAGCCCACTCTCACACCCAGGAACTGGGGTTCAAGAGGACAAAATCAGGGTGGGGATTTGGCCTCGTGGTTAAGACACCCTTGATCCATATGCGACAGCCTGGGTTCAACACCTGGCTCCAGCTTCCTGCAGACCCTGGGAGGCAGCAGTGCCGGCTCATGGTGATTGGGTTCCTGAGTGCCAGGCTGTGTTACAACAAGTTAAGCTATCGTCTGTGCCACCAGCATCCCATATGGGCGCCAGTTCGAGTTTCAGCTGCTCTGCTTCCAATCCAGTTCCCTACTAATGGCCTGGGGAAGCAACAGGAGATGGCCCAAGTGCTTGGGCCCCTGCACCCATGTGGGAGACCTGGAAGAAGCTCTTGGCTCCTGGCTTCGGCCTGGCTCTGCTCCAGCATCTGTGGGCATTTGTGGGGTGAATCAGCAGAAGGAAGACCCCTCTGTCTCTGTCTCTCTGCCTCTCAGTGGGGGAGGAGAGAGGATAAAATCACACTGCAGGGCAACACGATTCAGCCTGGCACACTCCAGCCTCGGGGCCCCAGCCTCACCGACGCGCACGCTAATGGCCCTTGGACTGGGTGCCCGGCTCCATGCCAAGCCCTCCACACGCTCCCCCTTTTAATCCTCACCACAGCCTTACGAGGGGATGCACCATTATTTTTTATTACACACATTATTGACTAATCACCATCATAAACACTCTTCACACAGCAAATGACTATTTCCAAATCATCACAGTAATAATCAGGAAAGTAACTCCCTTGCACTTGAACTTCACTCTATTTCTTACTGAAAAAGAAAGGCACACCCAAGTCACCTCATCATGATCCCACAAGTGACTTGGAGGGAGAGGGGCGGGCAGAGAGGTCACTGCCCCATCTCCCCTGGGAGGAAGTGGGCCTGGCTGGGTAGTGCTGGCCGGGGGGATCCTCCCGGCAAACCAAAGCCCACAGCCAGGGGCTCAGCCACGGCTGCTCTGCTTCCTGGGCGCTCAGTGCCCAGCAGGTGTCCCTGCACCCCAGCCCTGGCACTCACCTTGGGCCGCTTCCACCTGACGGCTGGCCCCGGGGTGGCCTTATAGTAGAGCGAGTCGTCGGTGGCGGGGAAGTGGGGGTCCTCGAAGAGCACCTTCCTGCGCAGGCAGCTCCGCTTCAGGGCCGCGTAGTTCTGCTCCTCGTAGGCCTTTACACACGAGAACATGGTGGCCGCTGGCCCGGGCCGGGCGCCGGGAGCACCTGCAGGAGGCGAGGTGAGGGACGTCAGGCCCCGTGCTCCCTCCCTGCCATCACACAGGCAAGGAAGGGCTGCTGGGAGAGGGGCCCGGGCTGCCCGCAGGCTCACCGCTGTGCGCTGCAGAGTGGGGACGGCACGCACTGGCCTGGCTCTGCAGCCTGCTTGTTTCTGAGGCCCTCACCTGCCCCCCTCCCTTGTTTATCCTCCCCCACCCCCACCCCCACCCCACCAGCTGGCCCCCATCTGAATCAGACAAGGGGCCGGCCCCTGCCGTTCCCTGGCTGGCACCACAGCCACGGGAGAGAGCAGCATGTGGCCACGCCACAGCTCACGGCACGGCCCCGTCATCCTCCCTCTCCATCTCCCTTGCCGCACCTCTGCAATCAATGCCTCTGATTCCGAAAGGAGCTGGCTCACAGCCCCTGGGCCTCCCTTTGCTCCCTGGGGACCCACGCGTGCTCACACACTGACCAAAGGCAAAGCCACACAAACCTGGTGACGTAGACAGGGAGGGCCTCTGGTGAGGGAGTGGAGCAGGAGCAGTACTGGGGCCTGGCACATCATGGCACCAGTGGATGTGCACATGGCTGGCCAAGCAGGGGAACCGACGCCCCATCCACGCCCGGTCCCTGCCACTCCCCGCTCTGCTCACCTTCTGGGTGACCCTGAACGATCACTCGGCCTGAGCCCCCTCTCTGCCCCTGGAAAGACGGCAGGGCTGGGGCAGGCACACAGCTTGGTCCCTGCTGCACACTTCATTTCCGTCCCCACATCCTCAAAGGCCTGCTCCCTGGCCGCCCTGACGCTGTGTGACCTCAGCCACTTAACCACTCTGACTGCCCCTCTGCCCAAGGAGGCCATGGCCCTGCGCCCCGCCCCCAGCCTCAGAGGCCTGAGGGAAGTGGAGGTGGGGGGAGGCTGGAGAGCCGGTTCCTGGCACCCGGTTACCGAGGAGTCATTAGCAGCACGGGTCTTGGCAGGGTCAGCTCGGGAAGCAATTTAAGCTGCAAGAATTAGATCAGAGAAGCTGAAAGCAGGAGCCCAGAAATGAGGGTTTGCGATTCCCAGTATTTCAGAGCCCCGAGGGCCCAGAGAGGGGGAGCGAGCTGGCTGAGGGCACACAGCCAGGCAGGTGGAAAATGAGGGTCTGGCTGCTCCCTAGACGATGCCTGGGTCAACGCTGCCCGGGGGGTTGGATCTGGGGGAGGACTGAGGGAGGTGGGGACTGAGAAGGGAAAGCTCAGCTATGCCAGACCCCAGGGAGGACTCAGCCAGCCCTCCTGCCTCACCCTCCATCCCTCTAGCCTCACCCCTGCTGCCAGCCAACCCTGAACTTCTTCCTCTTCTTTTTTTTTTTTTAAGATTTCTTTATTTATTTGGAAGGCAGAGAGTTAACAGAGAGGCAGAGGCAGAGAGAGGTCTTCCGGCCACTGGATCACTCCCCAAATGGCTGCAACAGCCAGAGCTGGGCCAATCCAAAGCCAGGAGCCAGGAGTTTCTTCCGGATCTCCTGTGTGGGTGCAGGGGCCAAGGACTTGGGCCATCTTCCACTGCTTTCCCAGGCCATAGTAGAGAGCTGGATCAGAAGCAGAACAGCCAGGACTTGAACTGGTGCCCGTATGGGATGTTGGCACTGCAGTGGCTTTACCCACTATGCCACAGTGCCTGCCCAACCCTGAACTTCTGACACCAGGTCCTGCAGTCCCTGAGCCTTGCACACATGGCCCTGCTGCACACCAAGGATCACCTCTCACTGCACCCACTGGGCCACGAGGCGGGGAGCCCGGGCTCACAGACCCCACCCCTGTCTCTGAGCTCTGCTCCCTCCCAGACAGGACAGGGGGCAGGAAGCCCTGCTGCCCACTGCCGAGCCTCCCCTCTGCGGGCCTGACCTTGGGTGTGGCCCGCTCTGTCTTCTTGGCTTTTTCACCCCGTGTTTGGGCCAGGCAAGGCTGACGACACTGAGCTCCCCCGCTGCCCAGCTAGCTTCACCCCGCATCCTCCACCCGTGTCCCGCAGCCCAGCGGCTATGAGCTCCTCGTGGTGTCACTAAAACTCTCTACCCAGGGCCTCTGCACATGCTCTTCCTCCTACAAAGCACCTTCTGCCTCGGCTGTCCCAGGAACTCCAGGACACGGGTACACGGTGCCCCATCCACACTCTCCTGTCCACCTCCCCGGCCCACTGCGCGCCCTCCAGGGCAGCTTCTGTGTGCACCTCCTCCCTGCACCCCGGGCTCCGTGCTGGAGGCAGGGGACCCAGCGACCGAGCTGAGTGAACCAACAAGGATGCGTGCAGGAGGAAGTCCTTCACAGATGGCCAAACAAGCCCCAAGAATGGCAGGGCCTCCCAGGCGGGATCAGCTTTCCAGATCACAGCACCCAGACTGCGGCAGGCAGGGCCGGCCCTTCCCAGCAGGCCTCGCGCTCCCTCCCTCTTCCTGATTCCTGAGTGCCAGCCCGTGCCCACACCCCACCGGGCAGGCTGAGGGGCAGCTGCAGCCCTGCTCAGCCCGCAACAGGACCTTGGCTTTGGCTCCCCAGGGCTCACCCAAGCAGTGAGAGCCTGGACGGCCCCCTCACTTCTCTTGCCCACTCTGTCCTTGGCTGGAAGGAGGAGCTACCGGGCCGGGCCCGTGAGGATCCAATGAAACACCACCCCGCAGGAGGCACGGTGGCTGCTGGAGGCGCTGGGCCCCAGGACTGTGCCCCCAGGCCGGCAGCGTCTGGGGCTCTCCGCGACACTTCCAGAGTCCGCCAGGCACAGAGGTTCCCGCAGCCAGGGTTCCCGGCCCCAGGACCACCGTGGCCTCGTGTGGCCAACACCCACGGGGCAGAGCAGGCAGTGCTCACTGCGGAGGTTCCACCAGGAGGGGCCTGGCGACAGAAAGCCGCCGCCTGCTCTGTAGATGAGAAAACCTTTCCACACAAGGGGACAGCTCGAGCAAAGGCCCACAGGCACCGACGGGCACGGCTGGGGCACGTGGTCTGACAGCGGAGGCCCTGCAGTCTGAGAGTGGAGGCAGAGTAGGGTCAGAGTGAAGGGGCTGGGAAAGCGCCCCCAGGGGCTTCTTGGAGATGAGTCAGGCCGGCCTGAGTCTGAGTCCCAGCTGTGCCACTTAGCCGCTGTGCATCCTTGGGCAACTCAGGAACCCCTCTGAGCTGCTGTTCATCAGCAAGGCTCCTCTGAGACGGAAAGAAAGCGACCTCTGCCCCTGGGCCTGCCCTAAGGGAGCGCAGTCCATGCCAGCCTTAGAGGGGAGGCTGGGGCCGAGGCTGCTGCAGGGGGCGGGCCAGCCTGGCCAAGCACGGGGCGGAGTAAGCACTCCTGTTCTGGCAGGCCACACTGCGCACTGTGTAGGCTACAGAGGAAGCAGCTGACCCCTGTGACCTTCCCTGGGGGTTACAGCCACAAAAGCCAGGAAAGAAACAGGAGGGAGAATTTCAAGGCATTGGTCCAGTCCCACTTTACAGATGGGAACATCAAGGCACTGATCCAAAGTCCATGGCTGGTTAGCTGGATCCCAAGCCTCAGACCCTGAGTTCCAATGAAGCTGCGCGAAGCAGGGTCTCGGCTAACACCGCGGCATGAACTCAGTAAGGACGTCACTGCCTGCCTACTCTTTCCCAGGGGGCACGCGGTCGGGTCCAGCGTGCCTTCAACTCCCCACGGCCCTTGCTTGCCTCCAACCCAATGAGGAAGAAGCAGGCTTGGGCTGGGCGTGCCACCAAGCAACAGCTTTCTTGTGTGTTATTATTTTTTTTACTTTTATTTGATGTTTTTCAATCCCTCCCGTTACTTTACATTTACAGAAAGTCAGAGTGGCGTTCCATTTATGGCAGATAGACAACCATTTGTCTCGAGAAGTACTAGGAGTCTAAACAACTAAACTCCATCAGTGGAGTGGGCGGGACCCTGGTCCCACAGCAGGCAGGAGCCAAGACGGGGGTCCTGGGCAGGGACTGTCCCTGGCCTCCTTGAACCCTCTAAGTGCTGGCAAAATGGAGCCAGCACCAGCCTCAGGGGTATCACAACGACCATGGGACATGGGCAGCAAGAGGGCCTCAAAGCCAGCACACAAAGGGCCCAGAGCAGCCAGGGTCATCCTCAGAGAACCAGCTGGAGGCCACGTGTACCAACGAGCAAGGCCCATCACTGTCGCTCCCCCTCTTCGTGGAGGAACGACACAAGACCCTGCGCTGTTCTTTTGTCTGCTCAGCCCTCCCTGGGTTTGCTGCTGGTTCTTCCCGGGTTGGCTACCGTCCCTTCCACCTCTGTGGAAGGGCGGTTCCCCCTGCCACTTTCCCCACTTCCGCGGGGGAGCGGCACACCGCCGGCCGGCTCTCTCGGGGGCTGCTCAGGTGTTCCTTCAGATAGATGTTCCTCTTAGATGTTCCTCGTGCATGTTGTCTCTCTCCTCCTTTATAGTCCTCTTCCACCAATCCCAACTCTGCTACCCACACGCCGAGTATGCTGCTCTCCTCCAATCAGGAGCAGGTCCTACAGTTTATTGGTTGAACTGGAGGCAGCTGTGTAGAAGCTGTTACTCCCTTCTCAGCGCCATATTGTGGGAGAGCAGATGCATAGAATAAGTCTTAATTCCAGTAACTTAGTCTAGTCCGGGTTGCTCCCCACACATCACAGAGGCCCAGTCGCAGGGAGTGTGCAGTGTTGGTGCAATGGCAGCCAAAGTGCACCATGGAACAGAACAGAGAGCCCAGGGGCAGACGTGCAGCGCAGCAATTACGCCCCACTTGGCATGGGATGCCCTCGCCCTGCGTCCATATCACAGTGCCAGGTTCAAGTTCCAGACCCTCTGCTTCCTACCCAACTTCCTGCTAATGCTCACCCTGGAAGCAGCAGGGAATGGCTCAAGTACTTGGGCCTAAATTGAGTTCCAGGCTCCTGGTGTCAACAGCTCTGGCTGCTGTGGGCATCTGGGGAATGAATCAGCAGACAGGAGGTCTCTGTTGGTCCCCCTGTTGTTCCATCTCCAAATAAA